GAAGTACTTCATTTCACTTCTTGACTTTATTGTTTGTGCTGAGAAGTCAGCTGTGATTCTGATAGGTTTTCCCTTATAGGTCATCTGTCTTTTCTCTCTGACAGCTTTTAATATTGTATTCTTTTGTTCAATTTCTGGGATGGTGATTATTATATGTCTGGGTGTAGTTTTGTTTTGGTTATGGCTATTTGGAGTTCTACATGCTTCATTGATCTTGGTATCAGTTTCCAACCTCATGTTTGGGAAATTTTCAGCTATTACTTCTCTAAATATCCTCTTGACATCCTTTATGTTTTCCCCTTCTTTTTCATTCCAAGGGGCTCTGAGCTGCCAGAGCTAACGGAAGGGAGCTGAAAGAGACTGAGAAAGGGGAGGCTGTGGAAAGGGGCTCTAGACTGGAAGCGTGTTGCTGATGAAGCCTGGAAAACACCTTGGAATTCATCTAACCTTACAGTGAGATTTTAATTATTATTTTTAAAACCTTGAAACATTCTTTTAAAAAGTTTTTAAAAAGTTTTGTTAGTACATGTTTCAATGAAAATTTAAGCTCATACACATGCAGAGTTACTATCTCACCCCTTCCTGTTTCCTTCTCTTTTTCTCCCTTATTTCCTTTTTGATAGGATTTTTGGTGAAGAAGGGAACCATCTGATAGGATTTTCAGTGAGGCTAAAAAGATAAGAAGTATAAAATAAAAGTGGGATTTATTTTAAGAATGTGGGGAGAGACTCCATGAAAGGATTTTGCCCCAGATGGGATACTGTAGCCAGTGAAGCCTTGGAGGCGGAACCAAGAGGCTCTATCCTGAGATCACCTTTCCTGCCCCTAGGCAAGGCTGTGGCACAAAATGAATACCAATGGGCTACCTGTGCATCACTAATGCCCTTTAGGCACCACCCCAAACCTAAACTACATGTATGCCCTCACACCACGTGTCTGGTAGAGAGAATGCCAGACCCCAGAGGTTATGGAGTCTCTCCCCACATTCTTAAAATAAAGCCCACTTTTATTTCAAACTTCTTCTCTTTTTAGCCATGCTAAAAATTCTATTAGATGGTTCCCTTCCACACTGATAATCCTATCACTTTTCTCCTTCCTTTCTTCATGCCACTCTTTTATTTCCTACTTCCTTCCCTCCCTCTCTCCACCCCTCCTTTACCTTCAGCATCTTCCTTTTAAACCCCAGACATACATTTCCCACCTTCCAAATCCTCCATCAGAGCAGTGTATTCTCTTAAGCAATGTCACCCTGAATGGAGAAAGGCTACAAGCCAGCGAAAGAGAGAGATAGGTTTCAGAAAGATCAATCCTGAAGACATCTTGCCCTTGAACTCCTAGCATGTAGCACTGTGAGAAATAAATAAACGACTGTTTAAGTTACCCAGTCTGTGGTTCTTTATTATGGTAGCCCCAGAAAATGACTACACTCCAATTTTAGGGAGTCTAGGTCTATGATATAATAGCAGTTTCTCAGTGCTGGTAAAGAAATGTAATCATGTATGTTCATCTTTAGTTGTCCCTTTCAAAGTGCTGAAAATTGGATACCTTTAAAATAAGATGGGGGTTTTTCAGAAATACTGATTCAGAGAGCTTCCAAATTAATTAATAGGAAGTGTGAACCCCGTACTCCCATGTGAGGCTGAAGTGTGCAGCTGACATAGAAACCAATAGCTATAGAATGACTCTGCTGCACTTGTCTGTAGTACTTTATTGCCTGTGCTAGAAGCCTTACTTTCTGGCCCTGACGTGTGAAACTTAGGTAATAAGAATCTTCTAAACCAGTGTTTAATTCAGTAGTGCTGTTAAACATTGTTGTGGGGGTCCACCAAGATGACTTCCCCTAAAAAAAGACAATTTGCCTTCATTTCAGTTCACCTTTACTGGACTCCCTTTTACTGATAGACACAGAATGGGTGCTAAGGAGGTGCTCAATCCCTTGGATTGGTTATAAGCAATGCAAATGGGTCTAGCCTAGGCTCCTGTTGTGTAGCCTTTGAAGCAAGCTGGAGCAATAGGTTTGTGTGCAGGCCTGCCTAAGGCTCTGTCCTACTAAGTGTGAAAGAGACTGGGCTGTTGGCTGGCTAGGACAGAGCTTCAAAAAAGAAGCAACGATATTCTAGGGCAGATGAAGGCTGGCATCAGAACTGAGGCAGCTGACCCCAAATACAAGATACTTCTTCAAAGTGTGTCACATAAACTCTTCCTCCACAGTTAGAGCACTTTTCTCTTCCACCACTGTGCCTCCGACTTAGCCCAGCTCACGTAGTTCTCGTGGCCTTTATTCCTATTGGACTTAGCACCCCTGAGCTCCCCACAATGTCTGACATGGGGTGCCCTGGAAGTAGTAGATTGGGATTTACTAACAAGAATTTCAATTGCTTTTCCCTGGGATTACAATATATGAACACCAGATCCCAAGGGGATGGGCAGTTATAACTATTAAATGAGAGGAAAAAGTCTTAAGTCCCTAGAAAGCAAATGGCAGAAGCCACCGGGTGGCATGTCTTTTAAGTGAGAAGTGCAGTTTGTAGAAATACAAACAGGAAGAAAATACAGCTCACATCTGACATGATGATGCAATGTTTCATGTGGAATATTCTATGAAAATTCAATTCTTTGAATTTGGCCTAACTCAAGGCCCTGACTGCTATTAAAGCTATCACCCTGCATCTTATGAAGTCAACAAATAGACCTGTGTTTCTGTTGGTCAGAGTCATTCTTTATTCTCTACCCTCTCTGGGTCACTGTCAGACGGGTCTATTTCTGTAACCAAACACTATTATAATGTCACTAGTCACCTTTTCTTACGTGCAAGATACCTAGAAATTAGTAAGAAATTAATACTTTGCTTTTTAATCACCTCCTAAAATAGTTGAGCCACCCTTTGTTTTTTGGTTTTTGTCTTTTATTAGGTTATTTAAGGAGATGATATGATCAGATAGATCTTTCTTTCAATAAAACATCAGGACTGCTTGACTGATGCTGGGATAACAGGAACCCAGGAGATCATGAGATAAGAATCCAGGTTCTCCATTTCCCTGTCTAATGGAAGAATGTGAGCTCACTGCAGGCTTCTCCTTTGCAGGGCTGCCCCCCTCAACCTTCATTCATTTCTGAGAAAGCAGACTTGCTTCTAAGCGTGGTCCCACAATTCTAGCAGAGAAAAGGGAACCCAAATGCAAAACTTTTCCATAACTTTTCCCTGTGTTAATTGACAATATATTTTTATCAAGGTAATTTTTTCTTGCTTGTAATTTTATTTTAGTTTTGTCTTTTTTGAGAGGGGGTCTCGCTATGCACTTCAGGCTGGCCTCAAGCTCACTTTGTAGCCCAGGCTGGTCTCCAACTTGCAACGATCCTCCCACCTCAGCCTCCTGAGTGCTGGGATTACAGGCACGAGTCACTATGCCTGGCGTGCTTGTAATTTTATAACATCTGTGTTAGAAAAAACAGGAAACAAAATAAAACAAAAATCCAAATCCTTCTTTCTTGCTCTCAATCAGAAAAAAATAAAATGAAGACATTATTATTCATCAATTTAGGCATTAAAGAAAGACAGGTATTTCACAAGTGAGAACATGCCAGGTGTGGAGCACACCTGTAATCTGAGCACTTGGGAGGCTGAAGCAGGATGATCATCATGAGTTTGAAGTCAGCCTGGGCTGCACAGTGAGTTTGAGATCAGTCTGAATGACACAGTGAGACCCTGTTTCAAAAAAAAAAAAAAAAAAAAAAAAAAAGGTGAGAAGTAGAGGCCAAGGTATGTTCACTAAGCTTAACTGTGTGTACATGTATTTGCTGTTCCTCCACTTGATGGTGGGAACAGGAGAGGGGTTAGGGATTATGGGATCCTGAAAATTAAAGAAAACCAATTCACTAGCAGATTGTGGAGAAAAAGATTAATTGCAGCAAATATCATTATGTCTCAATGTTGTTTTAGGTAGAATGTGAAATTACTGAAAATCTTTTCTGATAGTCTTTTGAACATCTGAACTTTTTTTTTTTTCCTTTTTATCTGTACCCGGTATTGAACTCATGACTGCCTGCTTCACAAGGCAGGCACTTATGCTGCTGAGCTAAATCTCCAGCCCCTAACATCTGAACATTTTATTCTTTGTCATATGCTAAAGAATTTATAATTAACTAAAATTTGACAAGGAAAAAGGACTCTACATTGTGCTTTGTTTAAAAAATTCACTCATGCCAGATTTTCCTTAAAATGTTCCTCCTTGCTTCTCTCTGACTGTAGGTAGCTTCAGTGTGCACAGCTCCTGGAGCAACTTTCCAAGACTTCCTGAAAGTCAGCCTTTCTCTCTTGCGCAGAAGTTTCTTCTGCATATTTCTGTTGCTGGCCAGCATCTTTCTGTGATCACATGGTTATATCTCTCCCTTAATCTTGAAAATTATGTAAAAGCTTTGATACAGGCAGTTATTTTCTTCTACTTAGCCTTTTTATTAGTGTTTCTCCCTTTCTTTGCAATATCCTTCAATACTTATAAGAAGATACGCATCAGATGATCATTAAAATTGATAGTTTCCATAGGGGTACTCGGTTTATGTTGGCAGCAAAGACCAGAGGGTTGACTCATTGTCACGAGTGAAGTTGGGCAGGACTTTCTAACTACAGTACAGTCTATTCATATGCTCCATGGGACAAAGAATTAGTCATCCAAATATGCTGTTTTCCTTAAATACACATTGCTCTTAGCAGCTGTTAGTTCTATTGGCATCCTTTATGAATGTTATGAGATTGACAAATTGTCCTGCATTTGTGTCCTATATCACCTGGTAGGGCAGGCACCAGCATCTTTTGAGCATGTCTTGCAGAGGATCAGCAAATGTTTACTACCAGAAGTGGGGTTGTTGTGTAGACTGCACATACTCATATCTCTAGAACCAGAATGAAAAAAACTGACATCCACTGAGGAATACAGGAATTCTGTGATGTTAGCATAGATAAAAGTTACAGAAAATATCGCGATAACTTGGCCATTTGAATATACATTTATATAGGTTTTATTTATATTAAACATGTAATATACTTTGAAGAAAAAAACAGTAGTTATTAAACAAGTGCTAGCAACCATTCTTTCAGACATGGATTTAAGGCTAAATGATTCCAAATTATTCATAATAATTAGGTTGCCAGGAATAAACTTGAATACCTCAAAAAATGTGCAGTTACCTAGCGAAACACATGAAATAAACTAGAACCTGTTTGTTTTTGAAGAATTTCCATGAGAAATTAGCACAAGCTATTAAGTTCTGCAAATAATTCTATTACACATAGATACGTGGCTAGACAAACATCTACAGTTTCTAAGTGTTATGAAGAGCACTTGAGAAAGAAGGAAGCACTTAATGCAATTATAAAATGCACAGCTCCATGTCCAGGATAAAGTTTTCTTTAATACACAAATGGGCTTTCAAAAAGTCTTGCCAAAAACCTGAATTCCCCAAGTCACAGGCAAAGACTGCTTTGTGCTCCTTTTTGTAATGTGCTTGATTTGGGCCCTTACAGAAATGGTCTTTTGTTCTTAACAATGATTACCTTTCTATATTTTAATTACTTTTATTATAATTCTTTTTATTTTACTTTTTGAAATTTTACATGATTTCCTTTTTTCTCTTGAAAGCATAAGACTGACAGTTCTTAGGTGAGAGAATGACTCAGACTGGAAAACACAGAAATCCATAGCAGAAATTTTATCTTCAGTGTTCAAGTGATCAGGTAATCAGTGATACACCACGCAGCTGAGAGTAAAGGAATGCTGTGCATTTAATAATTACAATTTTAAAATGTCAATGCTGTTGACATGATACCAGTTTTCTTGGCTGCTGGTTTCATTGCAAAGTATTCAGTCACCCTAAAGAGCTTCACGTATATAATCTTTGGCCTTTTCTCTTATACAATTTTATACATTTTAAATGTCAAGGTTGAACTTCTGCTGAGAGGAAAGTCAAGGTGAGGTTATTGTTCAATATAATGCTTTTGATATTTGACAAGAAGTTTACTGTCTTCTATCCCAGAGCTTTGACATTTTATATAGAAGCCATTTATATCCAAATGTGTGTGGATGTCCTCAGCTTTCAGAAGAATGAGAATGCTAACTATATAGCCAAAGTGGTAATGGGAAGGATTAACCAGAAGAATGAGAAATAAATAATAGAAAAAGAAAAACAGTATACTAGGCAAAAGAAAGAGAGAGAGAGAGAGAGAGAGAGAGAGAGAGAGAGAGAGAGAGAAAGAGACAAGAAGCAGTAGATGTTAGGGTAGTTTTTTCTTCTTATTGTTCTTTAGTAAAACAATATTAGAAACTGCACAGTATTGATATCAGGAGAAAGAAATTAAATGCATTTGAAAGATAGGAAAATGATTTAACGTTTGCATTTTGACTTTTTCTCAAAAAGTTAAATCAGAAGAGTTAGTACATTTTATTTTATCAATTTTTAAGAGAGTTTAAGACAATTAAGAGAGTTAATTTTTGCTTCTTTAAAATATTTCTGGCCAGTAGTGGTGGTACATGCTTATAAGCTCAGCACTTAGGAGGCTGAAGCAGAAGAGTCACCTTGAGTTAGAGGCCAGGCTAGGCTACATAGTGAGTTCAAGGCCAACTTGAACCACATAGCAAATTAAACAAACAAACAAAATTCTGCAGAGCCCAGCACTGGGACCACGGTCTGTGCCTCAGGGGATCCTAGCAGGCAGGAGGCTGAGACGGTAGTCTCACTGCTTGTAAAAAGGGCCAGGCTGCAGGGAGGAAGCTATTTTGGCCTGGGGAGCACACCAACCTCTCCCTGAGGCCATCCCAGGCCTCCACGGCCCAGTGGGCCAGGTTGCACAAACCCAAATGGGTTCAGAGTGTTGAGGGTAGGACCAGGCTTCTCACAAAGTGCCAAAGCAGGCCAATGAATTTCTTTCCTTTTTTTCTTTATTAGTCCTCTTTGCAGCACTTGGGATCACATTCGTGGTAGGCAGCTGGTGTAAATGTGGCACAGCTGGATTCTCCAAACATCTCACTCCACTGTGAACTGATATTTTGATTGGGAAAGCACAAGGTTTCCGAGTCAGTCCCAATTCTCTGTTTCTCTCCCTCTTTGCCTGTGTGCGTGTGTGTGTGTGTGTGTGTGTGTGTGTGTGTGTGTGTGTGTGTGCTGCTGGGGTGGGCGTGTGAGTCAGTGAACAAGTGCTGAGCTGAATCCTAGGTCCAAACTCTGTATAATAAGCGTTTGTGGTTTTTGTTTTGTTTTTTCATTTCATTTTGCTCTGCCATACTAGGGATTGAACTCAAGTCCTCTTTCATATTTTTATCTTGAGACAGGGTCTTGTTGAATTGCCTGGGCTGGGTTTGAACCTGCCACCCTGCAACCCATCGGTGTTAGCGAGCAGGCATGGGCCAGGCCTGGCTCAGTGCTCGAGTTCACTGAGCGAACCCCATCCTCACCTGAGCCACGTCCTTGTCTGTGTAATGAGGGTAATGGCCCTCGGTCCTCCCCTTCTCACTGGGACTGGGTGCAAGGGATTCCAGAAAACAAACTAAAAAAATCCCATATAGTCTTTCTGGTGGAAAGCAAAAGAAAATATATTCTATTTCTTATAAAAATAAAAGTTACTGAAATCCCAAAGTCCTTTATTCCTTAAAATGAAAGGATATGTCAAATGGGAAAAAATGACAAACCAGTGAGAATCCTTAAATTACAGGTAATATGTCCCAAGAGTTTTTGTCATTGCAATCGTAGGATTAATTCTAAGAACATATCTAAGGAAACATTAAACTTTGAACAAAGGTTAAAGAAACTCTTAGGATAGTAGGTTTTTCACAAATGATCTCTCTGTTGGCCTTAAAAATTATAACATGGTTTATTTCAGTTATGTCTTCAAGGCTATGTTTATTTTTTATGTGTACATGCATGTGTGTGCAAATAGTACTTATTTATAGCTTCCTCCCAAATTACACATTTCTCAGACTTAGCATGTTAGATTAACTGAACATTTGAGTAATTTTCACTTTGCATACAGTTGGTAAAGCCTTTTTTTTTTTTTACTTTTATCATTGCTATCATGGATAGAAAATTAAAATTTAAAAAATTGTAACTTGTTCTTGAAATAATACAATTATGAAAGTTTCAACTTGTAAAATATTTGCATCTTTAACAGTAGTCTTTCTTTTTACTATTAAAGGATGGAACTGGTTTCCAGGTCATACTAGAGGTTTTCAAAATACAATTTGCCACTTTTAAAATGTAAATGTCATTATATTAATTCTAACATTGCTACTTTCACGTTGTTCAACTCGGAAATAGCTTAACTTTTAGCACTGATATGTATAGGGAAAGGCTTTCTGCAATTTAATGCCTGCTTTCATTATTTGCATTGCCCTTAAAGTTGGTACCCCTGGAAAAGAATTCGAGGGCAGATGACTTGGTAATACTCATTTGCTGCGTACTGATCTAACTCCTTTCATACGGAGCCTGCTGCTGGCCCTTCTGGTTACCAATGCTAAGCAGTGATATTCTCACTGATATTGACTCCTATTGTTCAAATATTGAAGATGCTAGGGAGAGAGTGGGCTCCCGGAGATGCTGACCGTGCTGAGGGAAGAAGAGTTCACACACTGCCTTCAACTCAGACTAAAGCGGAATCCACTTTATTCCTATCATCCACTGAGAGGAAAAGGAAATGCCAGGATTTCCCAGTTATCACAATGTATTTCCTCTGTGTGGTCTATTCCAACAAACTAATGGCTGGAAATGTTTTGTTATAGGATCTGTGATCAGAACGGTTTATAACAGACATGGTTTTTGTACAGGAAGAGACAGACCTGTATTAGTGGTGCTCTGGAGAGATTTTAAAATTGTTTTTTTCCAGATGCGCATGATGTGTTTTTGGTCCAGAGGAGGAGCTGATGCAAATCCTGACATGCCAGTCCTGAGAAAGCCTCAGGTGATTAGGATCTCACCGATGACAGCGAAAGTACTTGCTTTCTATGGAATCTCTTAGAATGGCTAGTCAATCTTAGGTGACCCTTCAGTAAATGTCAACTAAGGGACTGGACAGGAATGAGACCATCATTACACTTTGTGCATTTCAATGCTTCATGGTTTATGTGCTTAGGAGATATAAATATGAATGCAATGGTTATTTTCATTTTATATTTAATCAGCAAGATCTCGATTGGGGCCAAGAGGTACTGAGTACTAAGGAGCTGTTGCTGTTTATGTCCTGTTCTCTAGGAGAAGTTATTTTATACATTTGTTCTGATAATACCAGAACAGCTCTCTAAAAATAAAATATTGAAAATAAGGATCTGTTTTATTTAACAAAAAACATCTTACCTCATTTTTCCCATAGAAAGGAGTTTTAATGTATGATAAATCATGCATTTAGTAAATAGGTATTTTGTTTGTTTGTTTTTGTTTTTGGTACTGGGGATCTAACTCATAACCTCATGCTTACCAGGTAAGCATTTGAGCCACTCAGCTAAATCCTGAGTCCTAAGAAGCAAAACTCCAAGTAATTTTTACTTACAACAGCTACGTCTGCCTATTTCCCAGAGACCCTCTATTTTTCCAAGAGGATGCAGGGAAGAAGAGAAAGGAGACAAAGAAAACAGATGGACAGAGAAGGAGAAATTTCTTTTTGTTAGGAAAGGATAGACTTGTTCTATATTTAATAAGCTATCCACCATAGATGATAACCTCATTAGGACAACAAATTGTAGTGTGAAATTTGAGGTAAAGCTACCTTGGTCAAAAGGGTTCAAAACAGACCTGTCGTAATGATGCCTTCCTGATCACTACATTCACTGACAGAGACCTGAAGAGAGTCAGGCTGTGAACTGTTTAACTATTAAGTGTCAGAACACTGATTGAGAATTCTTGCTTTAAGTTTTCATAAACTGAATTTAGTGTTTAATAGGAAAAAACTCATGCACAATTTGAAGCTGCTTAATTCATGTGAATTCATATGCAAATTATGAGGTAGCCAAAAATGTAGTTCAGCATCTGCCAGAGGATAAAGCAAGAGAAAGGGAGGATAACTAAGCAAATACTATTACTTATTTTGATGAATGAACTCCTGGACTGTACAGTACTTTCTGTTTATATAACTTCTTGGAGGGGAATCTGAGATGTAAGTGATACATGTAGATTTCTCAACAAGATACTACAGCCTGCTCATTCCAAGACTCTCCATGTGAAGTGCAGATTGGCCTAAAAGAAGGGAGGCAAGTAATAGACATGTGTCACTTCTCTTCCTGCACCAGTATAGCTTCCTTTTCTCAATCAAGAGCCAGCGGGTGCTTACTGATGCCAAATGTAATGTTCCTGTTTACATGAGAAGGCATTTGCCTTCCAAAAACCTCTCTTCTACCAAGACGTCCAGCCGATAAGAGACTGACTGGCAAGGGCAAGAAATTCCAGGCAGCATCTCAAACGCTCATCGTTAGATGTCGCTCTTTTGCTCCCAAACTTATTTTTGTTTGACATATATGCAGTAGCATTTGGAAGACTAGTCACCAAACTACTGAAGAGTTTTACTTCTTGACCACAATTTCTGCCATTTGATTTAAAACAAGGAATTGTGCAGAAAGGCGATGGGAGGTTCTTTAAGGAAGCTCACTCTAGTTTTTTGGTTTTGTAAGGGGAATGACTAGCACTGTTAACAAATTATGTTTAGGGAGTAACAGGGAGCTCACAACCCAGCTCACTGCACAGGGGATGCCAGAGAATTATGCTTTTTTGTTAGATTAAACAAGAATATGACCAACAGGCTGGCCACCTGGAAGACTATTTCTGGAATGACATTGCAGAGACTTCTATTGTTTTGATCAGCTGTGATTACACATCTAATAAAATATCCTATGGCTGATTTAAATTCTGGACATTTTTGTCTGGCTGTGTCACTCTGAGGGCTGACCTCATTTATCACCTGTCAAAATGTTCTTTTATTCTATAAAATATGCATACTAGTCACTCTGGTTATACATATTATATTAATAAATAGCACCTTCTCCCTTCACCGCCTGTAAAGATGATTCTCATTATCATTTATGGGTTCAATACTGCAAATATCTAGGATCAGTTCTTACAGAACATTGTCTTGTAGTGAATCTGGATCTGTGTTGTTTCTTTGTCGTAAAAATGTCCCCTGTTCTCTCATTTCCCACAAGTGTTGAGCACCAATAAGGTATATTGCTATGCAAGAGCTCTATTCATAAAAAAATCTTCCCTAGATTTAACATATTCTTTGGTTTAATTTAAAATTAAATAGCAAATGAAATGAGGATTTGAGGAGGATGAAAAGATTTCAAATCCAAGCAAGTGAGTTCATTTCTTTCTTTCCATTCTTTTTCCAAAGAGTGGAAAAGATGATTTGTGGTTTCAGTTAGCCCTGGTCATAATTCTATGCTGTCTTCACCTATTAGAAAACTTGTCATAATAAACAGTGTGTGTTTATCAGTCTTCCAGACTACCAACTAAAACCTTTCTAGTAATCATGGATTATACAATGAATAAACAATGTGATAATTGCACCTTCAAAGTCCACACAACATGATAACAACAGATTCCTCTCAAGCTCCAGAGCATCTGTTAGCACCTTTGAGCAGGTTCATCTCCACTGTGCAGAGACCATGCATAAAGTATGCTCCCTTCCATCCATGGCTCCGTCTGTGTAGGTCTGCATACATGCTCTGTGAGGAAGATGAAAGGTGTGGTCTAAATTTGTCCTTTACAGAATTAAAATCGAAATATATTATCCCAGATGGGTTCTGAGCCGCTTCATCATAGAAGTTCTCAGTTTTCTGCTGCGGATCAGAAGTGTCTGGGGTTCTGCTTTTCCTTTGCTCTGAGGCACCTGAGAAGGCTGAATCCGACCCGCGGCCGTCACACCTCTGAGCTGTCACCACAGTGGATCTGTGAGGGCATCATGGGCTTGCTGCTGCCTGAGCCCTTGGGGGTGGCCTTCTCTCTGGCACTTTTCTTGCTCTTGCACATGACTGCTGTGATGACAGTGAGGCAGATGGCGAGCAATCCCAGGGCAGCACCACCCCCGACAGTGAGCAGGCTGAGCTCCGAGCTGGCACTACTGAGCTCCCGCGGGAGGACCCCATCAGGAGGAACTCGCCCTTGAGGGTTCTGCCTCTTGCTGGTTCGGTCCAGGGCAATGTGCTGGATATTTGTTCCTCGGTTGTTTTCAGCACCGATTTCCCATGCAAGTTGGGGCGTACTCCTGATCTCCCTCTTCTTTCTACCCTCCGAAGTCTCCTGGGGCTTCCCGTGCTGTACCAGGGCATGGTTCTGGTATTCCACACTTCTTTTGCCAATGCCTCGATTGGTGTTGTCTTTTGATCTTACTGTATAAATGGTGTGTATATACCATTCCCGGCCCAGAGCAACCTAGAAAACACAATCCTATTCATTAGGAAATGAAGTCCTATGCTAACCCAATTCAGAACTTTGTGTAAGAGACAATAATGGCAGAGATAATGAAAAATGATCAGTTTGCCTGCAGAATTAATTTACTTGGTACTTTTCAGGGTGTACTACATGCAAGACTTCATTTAAAGCACTATACAATATATCTTATAAAACTCTTAAGGGAATATATATATACTGGTGAATATTTGGTATTTGCAAACACAGAATGTGCGTGCTGTAAAAAGCTTTGGAAATAACACAGTCTAGCTTATTCATTTAAAAAAGAGTAAATAAAAATTCACAGTGGTTCAGTGTCTTGCTCAAACCAGTTAGTGGCAGAGACAGGATCATAACTCAAACCTGCTGAACCGCAGGATTCTTCTTCCCTGTGTGTTTGCTTAGTCAGATGTAAGATCATGGGCGAGGGGCTGAATTTCCCAGATTTTTCAAGGCCTCAGGAAAAGATGGATTTTCTGATGACTCTGAAGCCTTCAGGCTTTAGAGAGGCCACCAAGAATTAATAGCAAAAATGAAAAAAATCAATTTAGATTTGTTAGAGAAGATGTAGAGAAACAGGTATGTTTTCTTTAGATGCCTTTCTCAGGATGACTTATGAACAATCTATTCTGACTGCCTGTGTAAAATCCTATCTGTATAAGTTTCCCTAAATATCCCTAAAGAATGCACTTGCTCTCTGAAGGATTCACCACCTAAGCACACGTCTAAATGTCTTGAATTTTTCTGCACAGTAGAACACCCTGTGTGTACCTTCACTGCCTGTTTCTAGTACAGGATTTCCTACCTGGGTTTATGAAAACTTAAAGAGTAGAGATTTTGTATGTTTTGCATAATTGCTGTTTTGGACTCATCATTTTACACAAATCACACTAAAAGATGGGCATGAAAAGTCCCCAGGAAAGATGTTTTGAATAAGAAAGGCAAATTATTCATCTGTTATATTTATATTCTGGGCTGAATAAGTCTTCACTATATATGATAGTAGAATAATATTAACACAGTAATAGAAATGATCTCTAAAGTTTATGGAATGCATTATCTTATTAAATGTTCTCATTTTTCATATGCAATATTACTGGGACTCCATTTACATATGAGACATCCGAGACAGAAATGTTAGGTAACTTGCATGCTGCTCCGTAGTAATTAGAAGAGAGCATGTTTGGGGATTACCTGAAAGAGCGGAGCTGAGTCAACTTTAAATCCATCAGATCCAGGCTGATTCACCAGGAGAACAGCTTCAGGGTCATCTGCTGCTAGTTTGGCATTGAACAGGACATTTCCAAAACTGGTGGCTTGTGTCTCTGGCTGAGCTTTATCCTTCAAACAATAAGGAAAACAATGATGGCCATAGATAATGCCATTTTCCAGGGGCAGAATGTAGTGTTGTTAGTTTTGTGCAAGTAAAAATTATCACAAGATTTCACTATGTGATGCCTTAATTTAGAGTGATGATATGGTTTTAGAGCATAAGAAAGAAGGGTTAACCATGAAAAATATAGGTTGTTTACTATTTAGGTGAAAGCACTTACCACAATTTTAAACCTATACAGCAGTGAAGGAGAGTCAGCTAGGCAGCCGTACTCTGCGTTTGTTGGGTTGTATTTGGGAACATAGCCATCAGCTCCAGTGCAAAGGAACACCTTCTCAATGCTGCAGTAGAAGGAGTCACCTAGATTCTGGACAGGATCTACCATGACACGACCATAAATTGTATCACCTGAAACAGATTCAGAAAGGTTGTCTTTGTTACGTGACAGGGCGTCTCAGGGTGATGTAACAGGTTTGACAATGATGGCAAAGGTTCTTCGCTTTGTTTTCTACTCTGTCATCAAATGTGGAAGGGCTTTTTGTGTTAACTGCAGGACTGGTCCACTCCTCAGGCTACAGATAAAATCATTTTGCAGAAGATTCAAGAACTAAGGAGACTCATATGCTCAGACACTAGTGGGAATAAACTCAAGGTCTGGCCTATAATTTGACATTTGTAATATCCCTTGTGGTTTAAAGCTCAGTGTACATAAATTAATTAGTTGGTGAGATGTAAACTAAGACACTGCAGAGTAACAGAAAATATCAATAAAAAGCTTAATATAAATATTAATAAAATGCAACTAGACATGCTGGCACATGCCTATAATTCCAGCACTTTGGAGGGTAAGGCAGGAAGAAATTGTTGCAAGTTTGAGGCCAGAATAGACTACACAGTGAGCTCCAAGTGAACCTGAACTACATAGTAAGATCTTGTCTCAAAATAAAAAAGACAGCCTAATTGTCTTATTTACTTTAGAAAGGAAGTTTTAATAAAGCCCTCTGGTATTGGAGCATATGTTCCACTGCTACTGAGTACCTTGGGTGTGCTAGGTAAAATATCTAGGTGCTAGATGCTGAGTCTACATCAATTGAAAAATAAGCATGATCTTTGCTGTCAGACATTTACTGTGTCATGTAGTTGTGGTATTTTAGTCCATGGGAACTGAAAAGCAAGCCAAAAAATTCAAGGAGAAAACTTATATAGGCTCCAAAAGTCACTTAAGTGAAAGAGATAGAGGTTAATTTCCCCAGGACAACAAAATAAAAGAACAAAACAAAAACACATCCAATAACATACACCAATTTCAGTGACTCCTCATTGAACTCCAAAACGACACAACTGCAGAAAAGGCCATATATTTCTCCCTCATACACGACCACAAAATAGGAAAGCAGTGCAGATATGCAGGACAAAATGGGCAACCCACTCGTTGGTCAAGTGATACCTTCTGCAAAAGCAATGTCACTCTCTTGCCCGAATCCCATGGATCCATCAGACAGCCAGAGACTCTTCTTGGAGAGCAGGTACATCTGGGTGTTCAAGCTAAACTCGGCTGCCACTGGATCACTGACCTAAAATCAAGGGTAAAGCTCTTTTATGTGTGGTTGATGGTTCTGATGGTACACAAGCAAACAGCAAACCATTCACAGATACACACATGCATTGCATGATGCATGGAGATTACTAAAAACACTACAGTGCAGGTTTCATGTCCAACCAAGCTGACATTTAGTACAGGTTCTTGGGAAAAGGAACTATCATGTTCCTTTTAATACATGATGGCAGTGAGGTACTTTGAGATGGCTTGAACTGTAGGATTTTCAATAACCTTGATGATTAAGAACTAAAGTACAGGAGGACACTGGGGAAAACTCTCACGTCTCTAAAGTAGCAAACTGCAGGAAGCAACAAGATGCAATCAGTTAAGAGAACTTAAACTATGGGTTTTGTATCCTGGACTATCACTGATAAAAGGCAATTCTTCCCCCTTTATTTCCTATTTAACTTCTTTTATTGCTCAGCATGCAAAAATTGAAGTCGTTCATGTGCGGAAAAAATTTACTGATCAAAGTAAACCCTGACTTTCACAAAGTGGGATTCTGTAACTCATGGGTGAGAATTCTATGAGACACACCTGTTGGAATCGAATGTCAAGGTCAAAGGTGACAGGCTCCCTTGGGTTGCAGGTCACTGGTAGGCGGTACTCCTGATGGGAAGGTGTGGTGCATGGCACCAGCTTTACATTGTAAGTTCCCGAGTAGTCACGTACCTCGGAGGAGGAAGGAAAACATTGATAACTTTCATTTGGAAATCTGAGGTGCAATCAAAAGGCAGCAGAAGAGGAAAACTAAGTCTTATCACTTACTGCAAAGTCAGACACAAAGCTCCACTGCTGTACGGGCTGGTTATAGGTCGGTTCACTCCTTATGAGACGGAGAGAAAAAGTCAGGCCTGGATGGTCAGCTGACATGATCATGGAGCTTGTAAAGGATGCTAGAAAAGTGGCAATAGTCACGATGGTATAGTTGTTAAAGTGAAAGAATGCATAACCACTCAGAGTTTCAAAGTGCTTTATCACATGTTATTTGCTTTTACTCTTTTATGTCTGCAAAGTTAACAAGGTTGGTATCATCATGCCTGCTTGGTCTATGGAGAACCTGGGCTGATAGTCAGTATGTGACTCTCCCAGGATCACACAGATAGGCTTAATAATCCAGGGTCTTTTCAGTTCTGTAACTCTTTCCAAAGAGAATTGGACAGCAATGCTTGACTTGCTCAGGGCCACTTTCCTGGGAGTCCGATCAGGGCAACAGCAGTTGAAGTGAATGCATTTATTGTGCATCAAAGCTATGAACTGAACTTAAAGTAGTCTACGAGCATCCGCACAGCGGGGCCAACCAAATTTCTGAATGGAGCCTAACTTTAATTAGATTTCCTGCAATTGAAGTTAAACAAAGATTCAGTCTATTAGAAAGGTGGACATGTAGAAACGATTGTGAAGACCAGGAAATCCTCGTTTTCCACAATTGTCAATTACAATAAAGCAAAGTAATTCCTTTTGGGTCTGTATTTCTTGCAGCTCAATCTCATAAAAGTATAATGGGCTCTTTTTTCTCTTTTTAACTATTCAGCTCTATTTTCTCTGTCCTTGGAACTCATGCCCAGGAAAAGGAAGGATATGGAGACGGCAAATGAACTATTTTCCCTTTCTAATCTGCCAGGAGTTGGCACTACAGTGAAAGGTGCCAGCCAATTGAGTAAGATAGAAACTCAAATAAAAAAACTGCAATGAAATGTCTTGTATAAAACAAACAGACAAGCATGGGGCTGAATTGACTACTTTTTAAAAAAGAGTATTCTAAGCACAGTGCATCAGAGTGAGTAAAACTTCCCAGCCTGTCCTTGTTCATGACTGAAACTCCAGTATAAAGTCAAGTGCCACTTTTGAGTCTATTACAAAGGCTCCCTACAGAACTTAGAAAAGAGCTGTGAACAGAGAAGTGCTTGCTAAATTAATCACTTGATATTCATTTTTTGGATACAATAGAAGCAAAACAGAAAAAGGAATTGTTATTACTATGTGCTGTCTACTCACATGAACTCAGTGGGGTTTACTTTTACATGTTCTCAGTGATTTTGCATTTCTTCTAAAACTCCATAGAACAGTAATTTTGTGGATGATGAGATGCAGATAAATAATTATTAAGCCTTAAGGAGATAACCGTTCATGTAACATTCATTTGACACGAAAGGCTTCAGAGCTAACAGCGCAGCCTGTTGAAACACGTTGTAATGGAAACACTATGCTTGTTGCGTTGTGGGTGCCTGTTAGTGGAGAGTGGGGCTTACCAGGATGAGACAGCACAAACAGGCCATGGAACTGAGCCTGGGTCTTAAAGTTCACGGCCAGGCGCCCCTCTTCCGCAATGCGCATGCTCGTTGGGTAGAGAGACCCTGCAAAAGGATAGTGTGTAAGTAGGGAAATACAGGTGGCTACAGATGGCTAATGTACAGATTCTTTTCAAAAACTAATTTAGATCTGTTTCATCTTTAAGTGTTCTAGGCAAATGATATTATTAGAAAAAAGTCCAAATGGTAAAAGTGAGAGAAGATTCTTTGTTTTCTTCTTCTAGGGAGAAAGGGTACCTAAAAGGGAGGTAATATGAATTAAGTCACTGTGGAATACATAGATTAACTGCATTCGGCTGTTTATTTTTAAGGTTTAATAGAGAAACATGATGCTATAAATTGAGAGACAGACAAATGATGTGGCTGAAACTGTAGAAATCGGGACATGTAGATGGAACCGGGCTTGAGTTTTCCAGGATTGCAAATTTTATAGGCTTAAAGAAAACTAAAAGTTTTCCAAGAAATTTAATGTTAGGTAAAATTTAACTCTAGGTGCACAACAGGTCCTTATGCAAATGCTGAGAACTACATTTAAGATTCATTTAAATATTTCCTCATTAAGATTCATTTAAATGTGCATCTCCTAAGGTTAGATGCATAATTAAAATATTTGACATAATCTGGAATGATCGTGTAGTGTGAACAGATTACTTGTCACATGGCTATAAGGTAATTCAAACCTCAGATTTATAGTTGCGATGTGCTATAAATCTATTTTTTCTTCTGGTTAGTAAATATATAGAAATTCATGGAAACAGAATAGTAATACTAGAGAAGAAAGGGCCAGGGGTTTAGCTCAGTGGCATAAGAGCCTGCCTGGCAAGTGCGAGGTCATGAGTTCGATCTCTGGTACTGCAAAAAATAAAATAAAAAAAAAATTAGAAAAGAAAAGGAAATAATATAAAAAAGAAAAAGCACTAGTTCTACCAATGCATTAATTAGCTTTAGACTTGTAGACGCTGCATTATGATTCTGACATGGAGATTGAAATGAACTTTTATAGACTTTGGGCTCCACAGTGAGTAGAATTCAGTGACCAGTGTATTAAGACATTTGGCTAAAGTATCACATAACAATAGAATTTTAAATTGGAAAGAGATACTGGAGGTTTGTCTACCATTCAAAAGAAAATAAGTACCAGAAGGTTAACCAATATGCTTGAGATCATACAGCTACTTATTTGGAGAGTCAGAACTACTATACAGACATAATTTATAGTAGATTTTACCATGAACCTTTCATTTTAAGAAAGAAAAATTTAATAAAACTTTTCCCCTTACACTCATCCTTTATTTTCAATCAGAATTTCCTCTATTTTCTAGAATCCATGTAGATTGTAGATTGCTTTGTGTGACACACACATAATTAATCATCTAAGATGAACTGTTGGAGAAAAATATTCGTGAAACTTATAAAGTTATATTTAACAATCACATACTCTATAAATTTTGAAGCATTGATATAAGTTCATTTAACAAGAATTTTTCCACAGCATAAATGAAATTATCTGATTAAGGAAAACAATAAGAAAATAGATTGCACGATGCTTCTATTGTTTTTAGCTATGTTAAAAAAATTCTATTAAGTAATTCAAATAGGTACGAAACACCTTTTCGACCCACCTTGGAGTTCAGCTTCTGGTGGGCTGCCAATCCCATCATTCCACAAGATGGCAGTGTCATACACAAAAGTCAGCCGCAGCTCTGACTTCAGGTCGAAATGCTGCCAGCCTCCTACCCCAACTGGGGAATGGAACACATAGGAAACATACAAAGGAACCCGCAGGGTCACGTAGGACTGCACTAGGTTTAGGACCTAAAACAATAAAATTAGACCTATCAACGCTATTTGTTGTTAATACACCTGAATTCGTACATGCTGTTTTCTCCTCTCACTTAATTGAAGACTTTGTGTAATCAATGAGGAAAGGGAAATGACACCATTTTTACAACACTACTTTCCCTCACTTAATTTTGGGCCAATTAAGTTGTTACTAGTTACCTTCATCTGAACCAAGGGATATGCACGAACAATCCTTAAGATAAACATTATTTTGAATATACTACGCTCTCAAATTTTTATTTACTGTATGACAGTTTTACTGAGCTATTGTCACACGCCATGTAATTTACCTACTGGAAGTGAACAGTTCTGTGTGTTTTAGAATATTCAAGCCATCACTACCACCATTTTTAGAACACAATCACTTCCAAAAGGAGCCCCATCTCCATTAGCAGTCATCCACTCTCCCACTATCTCTCCAGCCCTGCTCCCCACAGGCCCTGGCAACTGCTAATCTACTTTGTGTCTCTATGTACTTGCTTCTTTTGGTTAATTTACTCTGTTGCTAGTTTGGGGCTATTAGGAAAAATGTTATTATATAGAAGTAGATTAGACAAGGAGTAAAGATCTGGAATACAACGTAGTTATGACATATCATATTTCAGATATTTCAAGTGTGAATAATTGAAGTGTTTTGCTTTGAATTTTATACTTTCACCCTTCAGGTATGGAGCAGATGGGTTGGAGGTTAAATTAATATTTACTTATTGAGCACTAACCACATTACAGACAATATACTGGGATTTCCAATAAAAACTTTATTTTCACCCGCAATTATAAGTGTCTTTAATTGTTCCCTCATGACAACCTTGAAGTCCTGAAGCAACTCAAGATATTTACTTTTCATGATCATTTTGACTTTGAGGAAGAGCTGACAACACACAGCGTCAAATTCATTAAATAAGGTGGACGAGGCCAGCATGCCTTTATGTGCTGACCTTTCCACTGGATGGCACTCAGCAGCAGCCGTCACCGAGTTTTTTATTGTAAAGATAACTCATGAGAGATGAACTACAAAATTGTTTCAGAACATGGCAAGAACACTGGGGCAAGGAGTTATGAAAAAAGGGGGAGGATATCTTTTACTGTTAAAAAAATGCTTTTGAGACTGTCTCACTACGTAGTTCAGGCTGGCCTTGAACTCATACTGTAGCCCAGGCTGGCCTCAAACTCAACGAGATTCTTTTGCTTCAGTCTCCCAGTGCTGTGTGCTAAGATTACAGCTGTGTGCTACCACACCTGACTAAAATTTTTTGACTGGGTGGATGGATAGAAAGAGAAAGGGATAGGCATATTAGGTCTCAAATTTCCCATGGGAATCTTTAATGCAACTCAGTGACCCTACCAATATTAAAATTCTATTTATGGTTCATATGTTTTTAGCTCTAATATATTTCATTGCATTCCAAACAAAGCTGAGGGCAGTTCTAAGGTTATATAGCAAAAATGATCATTAATCAATTGTCACAATATCTTTAAAGAATTGCAGAACAAATACAACTACTCTCTTACACACAAGAAAAAAATGGGATAGCTCAGATCACTCTCCTTGGAAGTCCTGGCCAGTCAATTTGGCCAGAGCTCACTCTACAGTGAGCGGATGAGAATCAGATCCATGAGCTAGTGAATAATTTACACTATGAGAACTCTGCTCTTGCATGTCACACTATCTATCATGGAGTTAGAAATAAAGCCCTCAAGTCATAAAAATGAAGATATGAATTGCTAACAAAATTATATAAAATGAGAACCATCAAATTATTTGATTTGCAGCTGGGCTACAATAGCTGCCACTTGGTATCACCTGCTCAACCTGGACAGGATGAAAGGTATCCTCCAATACAAGTCTTCTGAGACAGTGTTTTCCAAGAGTGGCTGTTAATATTATCACTGAGTAATTGATCCTGAAACTCAGCATTATTGCTCAGGCAGGGTAATGGAGTGTGACTAAGTCAATCCCCTGTGTCACCGGTAATTAACATTCATATTTCATTCTGTGAGAAGCCAGCACTTTTTGAAAAAAAAAGGATTAAGTGTTAGGCATGGACTTCTGATTAAAGTTTGGATTTTTGCCAGTGTTCCACTTTATCCATCAAATATTACTGAGTGTACTATTTCACAGGGGATTACTAAAATTCACTTCCTATGAATAAGTTAATTGGAGTAGAGCTCCATGATTCTTTGATTTCTTTTGATTCTCATACTAAAATAGAATTTGATCATTTAAGGCCATGAAATCAGCATCTTACTGCATTTTCTTATGACCTGGGCCAGGTCTTCTTTCTGACTATTTAGAATCCTTCCATAAAAAGACTGCCGTCTAAATGGAACTGCCTAAATGGACCATTATCAGGTCACCTACCTAATTTCTTCTGAACTGCTGAACACAAAACAATCAGTTTAACTTCCAGTTGGCATCTTGAGGAGTGCACCATGTCCCTTCAGTCTGTACACAGGACATTTAAAGGTACATGTTGACAGTAAAATAAATATGTTAAATCTTAAACTGAGACATAATGAATGACTTCACGGGTTCTCATTAATGCTTTAAATTTCTTCAGTAAAATCAAACAATACTTTAAATACTTTATTTACAAAGAAAGCATAAAACTCAAATGCCCTGGAAAAGGTAACAACAGTGTCAAGTTTATATGACTAAGAAGCAAGTAGATATTGGGATGATACTGTCTGCTGATGGTACAAAAGAAAGGCTGCTAATGGGTATGTGAGCTGGATACAGGAGATGAACAGAATGAAAGATTATGCACCTTAAAATAAAATTACTCTCATGATATTTTCTATCGTAGCAACTAATGTTGAGGAAAATTGCAATGGATTTAATTCTTCACTCACTTTGGGCGTATAGTTGCAGTTATCCAACCTACACACCAACCTCTATCTTCTCTTTTCCTCTTTCCCTCTCTTTATTTTTGCAATGATGGGAATAGAATCCAGGGCTTCACACATGCTACACAAGTGACTTATATATCTTGCTCTATATTGTATTATTGTTTTCAAACTCATATAGAAACAAGACAGAGTATGTATCAAGACTTTTTCTAGACCAGTACTGTTTAACAGAAATACAATGTGAACCACACATACAGCTTTAGATTTTCATAGACACATTTAAAAAAAACAAAATCACAGACAAAAAGGTGAGATCAGACTAATAATGGTCTTCTTAGCTCAATATATCAAGCGTATTCTATTTCAATATATAATCAATATAAAATAGTATCTGATAAACTATTCTACAGTCTTTGTAGTATTAAGTCTTTGACATCTGGTACGTATTGATGTGCCAATACATCTCCAGTCTACAATCCTCACTTTTGAGGCTCAGCAGATACACATGGCTGGTGGCAGTCATACAGTGAAATAGCATGTAGTCATCAAAATTACGAATCTTCAGAATTTTCCTTGTCATGCATAATGTTCACATGTTGAAAGGCAATATACAAAATGTTATATATGATATGCTACTACTCTTAAAACGGTATGTGTACATTAAAAAAAAGAGTAGATGCCATGCATTGGCTGACTAGGGGAGAGCTACACACCAGCCCTCTCCTGTGAGTCGGCTCCACTGAACAAGAAGTCAACAAGAAGCTAAGACCTCCTCTGTGTTGGTGCCATGTGCAGGCTGACTGAGGGAGAGCCAGATGCCAGCTCTTTCTGGCATGCGGCCGGGGGGAGAAGGATGTATCCCGTCCCCACACCCTGAGGGTGACTGGCTGGTCTGGAAGGACACAGGCTGTGATGATAACTAATGCAGTGAAATACAGCTTAATGCTTGTATGTTTAGTATTTAACTGACTTTGTCTGTCTAAAGCTGATAGTCTGATCATGTATTTAGAGGACAGCAGTGTGCAGTGTAGCATCTACGGGGATCACCTTCTGAAGGTGGTAGCCATTGTTGATTCCCTATTATCTTGTTTCAAAGTCCTGTATCATTTTCATTCTTTTGTTGGGTTGGGTTTTATTCTGCTTTATCTTGTTTGGTTTTATTATATCTGATGGCATGGGTGGCTATTTCAAAGTTAACAAGATGTATTACAATAGCCATTTTGGATTTACTATTTTCTAGGTTTGAAGTCCTGTATTGCATTCATTGTTTTGTTTTTATTGGTTTCTATTCTGTTCCGTTTTGTTTGATTTTACTATGTCTGAAGGTATGGGCAGCTATTTTGAAGATAGAAAGAGGCATTATGGCAACCATTGTTGATTTCTTATTATCTTGTTTTGAAATCTTATGTCTCTTACACTGTCTTATTTTGATTGGCTTTATTGTTTTATTTTGCTTGTTCTTATTCTCTTTAAAATAAAATTAAAAACAGAGATTAGCAAATATGCCTATGAACAAGGAAAGTAGGGGAATAGGCTATTTTTGTTTTCTTTTTTAAAAATGCTGTATCGAACTCCTAGATATCTACAATATCATTTTCATTTAAAAGCCACATTATTAAAATTTAATTGGTAGTCCCGACAAAATAGGAAGCAACATACTTTGTGAAAGTTATGCATTTTGGACTCATCTTGCTATTTCTTCTGAAATGATTTGTAGAAGCTTACATATAACAGAAAATTACTGTACTAAGTGTAAAATCATGGTATGAAAAAAGATGACCTCTAAAGATACTCTACTCTCAGAATTAATGTTGGTGAATCAAATAAACTAGTAAAAAGGAGGCAAAATTACTCCTCAAACAAAAGCATGTAAGAAAAAATGTTTTACTTTTTCCAAAAACTATACTGTGTCTTCTTATAAGTACATTACAGTTTCATGTTGTAAATGCAACCCATAATTGGGATTGTATTTCTGCAGCTCATTCATGCACGTGAACAATGTCACCAGTTGCTGTTTACCTAAAAATTATGCAAGTTAAAATATTTATTCTGCATACAAACAATAAAAAGGGAAATGAACTTTGAAAAAAACTTTTTTTGAGAAAACCATTAAAACCCCAACAACTTAAAAAGCTGTTTACTATAATAACCATATTGCAATCAAAAGTGTTGTTCAATGCAGTGACAACTTTAATTTTTTTAATAAAGCAGGACACACATAAAGTTGGAGTAGAATTATTTACTAAATCTGTATTTTGTTTCCCTACTATCCATCTGCTTTTGTATTTTAGAAATTAGTTAAAATGATTTTAAAGTTAAATATCACTAGAGAATTTCCAAATTTCTTTTTCTTGGCAAGTAAAATTTTTAACCTGATAAAAGAGAGGATCTGACACACACAAAGGTATTGTGCTGGCATGTAAGCCTTGTGTGGTTTCCATCCTAATACGTATTTTTCCTGGTGCAGAATAATATTCACTGAATTTTTTTATTAGTTCACGTTAGTAATTCAGAATAACAAGATTCGCTTTATCAGTACATGCAGATAACGTTTTGATTATTTTTATCCTATTACACCTGTTTCCTTTTTCTTTCTCCCATCCTCTTACTCATTTCTAAAAGTCTACCTTCTGATTTCATGTTGAGGGAGATAAGAAGAAATACAGACAGGTAAAAAGGAGACAAGGGACATAATCAATTTAAAACTGAAAACTGCAATTCAGAATATAAGCTTAGGTTAAAATTTTTTCCTTTCTTTTCTCCCAGACACAAAAACCCTGGACAGTTCCCTTTCACCTGCAAATGGGCTCAGTCATTCCCTTTCTACTGGCAGTGTCATCTTTACCCTGGAATAGCCCACTTTTGCACCCCTACAGTGGCTTTCCCCTATGAATGGACCAGTTTTTCTGTGGGTGGGCATCCTTCCCCACCACAGACAAGGAGCCCCAGACTGCAGATTGACAAATTCTAGATTTAGCTATTCCCAGTTCCAAACTGTAGTATCTCTCCCTCTACCCATCCCTAGCCCTGTCTTTGTCTCTCAAGGGTCTGTACTCTAATTCTCTGAGTATGCTCTGAAATTTCTTTCTAATAAACCCTTCCCAAACCTCTCAATTGATGTGAACTGGAAAACTGTCTTCCTGCATCAGGGGTCCATGAACCTGGAACTTATTCTATGGGTAGGCTGGGTTAGAGTCTTTATTTTTGCTCCATGAACCTCCTCAGACCCTGTCTGGTAGCAGTGTCATCTGTCCTTACTTGTTTATCTTTTAGATTATTCATGTAAGAGAAAGCTATTTGAATTTCTGAGTCTTGTTTATTTTGCTTAACATGATAGTGTCCAGTTCCATTAATTTTCTTGCAAATAACATGATTTTAATCTTCTTTATGGATCAATAATATTCAATTGTGCATCTACAGCCCACATTTTGGTCCATTTATCTATTTCAGGGCATCTAGGCTATTTCCACAGCTTTGCTATTGTGAACTGTATTGTAATAGCCATGGGTATGCACGTACCATCAGTGTAGTGGTAGTCTAGATATTATGAGTAGATACTCAGAGTGGCCTAACAATAAAGTTGGATAAAAGAAAATAAAATAGCACACCCACATAAAGAGCGAATTCAAGCAGCTAAACTTATCTTAGAAATGCAAGATAAATACAAGAAAAAGAATAAAAATTGGGGTAAAAATAGAGAGATAAGGGCTCTTCCCTCCTGGAAGAAGACTCTGATCGGGGATATGCTAAATTAGTTAAGAGCTTTAGCATCTCCTCTGTACCTTTGGACTCAAGAAAACTTTCCAAGTGCAAGATAACATTTTCTTTTTGAGATCTTATGACCTCAAGTTCCTTTATGGTCTCTGCTTATGCGTACCAGGTCAAGACAGCAACCTACCATTTGGGTTTCTGCTCAGGGACCCTCATGATAGATATCTATCATGAGCTTCCTCTTACTTCCATTAAAACTTTCATGATTTCCCCCTTTCGGCTTCATTTTCTGTTGTGTGTGGAACCACAAGCTTGGTTTGTACAGAAATTACAATACCATCATTAGAGGTTCCACTGAAATTTGAGAGTAACAGCAGGTAAATCCCAAATGGGAGCTTTTTATCTTTTTTCTTGCAATATATTCTTGTTTAATGTATTTCCATTTATAAGATCAAGATTTACGCCCCCCCCCCCATAGCCTTATAGCCTGACGTCTTCTGTCATTTCCCTGGGAATAGGGTATATACGGGGAACAACAGATCTTCCTCAGCCAAGAAAAGTTGACAGCGTAACTGCTGCTCTAAAATCTAAAAGGACAGACTTCACTGGGGCAGTCTGGTGTGGTCCTCCTCTTGCACTGGAGAAGGGAATGTCATGCTTGAGTTGGGCCTCAGTCCACTATTTTCTAAGCCCTTGTAACTCAAGGACAGGAAAAAATGGGATTAAAAGCCTTTCCAAGGTCTTAGAAAAGCCTTTACAAGGGCTTAGAAAATAGTGATGAGCCAAACAGATGAAGTTTTTGTGACTTTATATAAAGAGGCACTGTTGGATTCCTTTTCCACTGCCTGGGTAGAGTGCACTGACTAATGGAGAGGTTGACACAGCACAGATTATTGCCATGGTAAAACAGAAGGCTGTTTTTCTGATGTTCGCATAGGCTGATGACAGCTTTAGGTAGAACGGACATTAAGGGAGCAGACAGCCACAGGCCCCGGCCTCCCGGAGACTGCCTCTCTCTGGTTATGACTGCTCTGCACAGCTTATCTCCAGGCCAGCCACTGAGTTCAACACCCAGAGTTATGCTAACTTAGGACTAAGAAAGGAAAAACCTATGTCTAGTATATGCCAAGGTGTCACAGAATCATGAGGAAGGTGGCCCAGGCACCAGCGGGATAGGACAGACTGGCTCTGGTCTCACTTCTTCAAGCACCTTCAGGTCACTGTTGCAGGAACTGGACGAGTCAGGTCTAAGGGACACCTTAGGTAAAGAGACAGAACACATGGGGATGGACAGGGCCACCTTCTTGTCCTGTATTGTTTTTCAAAATGGGAAAGCTCAGTATGAAATTGACTGCCCCTGTCCCCAGCCCTTGACATGCGTACTGAAAAGCTAGGGCTGCTTTGAAACCCAGAATCCAAAGAAAAACATCACCTTGGCTTTTTCTACTCCCATACCAGACCTGAACGGCCTCTGGGAAATGGTAACAGTAGCTGCCAAATAAAAATATATAAATGACAACACTACACCTTTAGTGGTCTGTCCTTTTGGAGGGAACATTTATATATAAAACAGATCCAACGCAAGGAATAGTTTACCATAGTGACTCTAATATGAGGGCCCCAAGGAATAGGTAATGTAGTAGCAGTTATTCTAAAAATTAAGTTATTCTAAAGATTAAGGTAACAGCCTAAGACTATTTTTAAAATAATCCTTGATATAAAGGATTTTCATCTCTTTTCTCATCACTCTTACTGGTGATGTATTTTGAGGAATGTAACTAGTAATTTCCATAGTGGTTGCACTAGTTCATATGCCCATGGACAGTGTAGGAGGTTTCCCTTGGCTCACATCCCTGCCATATCTTTTTTACATTCTTCTTTTTTTTTTTTTTTTGTCTTTCTTATTTTAATTGGTACCAGGAATCGAACTCATGACTGCCTGCTTGCAAGGCAAGGGCTTATGCCGCTGAGCTAAATCCCCAGCCCGCCTTTTTATATTCTTGATGACAGCCATTCTGACCAGGGTGAGGTGGAATCTCAGTGTTGTTTTGATTTGCATTTTTCTAATATTTTACAATGTTGAACTCTTTTTTTTTTCCATAAATTTATTGGACATTTGTACTTCTTTTGAAAAGTATCTAATTCATTTACCTTTTTTACTCACTGGGTATTTTTGTTAATTTCTTGAGTTCTTTATATCACCTAGATATTAACCCTCTATCAGGGGAATAGCTAGCAAAGATTTTCTCCCAGTCTGTGCTTTTTCTCTTCAAATGCTGTGTAAAAAATTTTAATTTAATGTAGCTCATTTGCTGGTTCTTGATATTATTTTCCCCGGAATTGGGTGCTGCTCAGGAAATCTTTGTGCCTATGGATGGCTCCAAATGTTACCTTGTATTTTCTTCTAAGTAGTTTTATTGACTATTTCTGTAATAGATGAATAAGATCACTGAAGGAGTTATCGGTATCAGCTAAATATAGCTATTTCTGCTCTCTACATCAACGTGCTGAACTTGTCAACTTCCATGGCTTTGCTGTGGGATTAACCTGCGAGTGAGTTACCATCTCCATTTCCCTCATTACTACTGTGCTTGTTTTATATTTTAACACCTTAGAAATACAGCCTAAAGAAAATTAGGAACTGTCAATTCTACTAGGAATTCAGCCGCACTTTGGCCAAATTTTGAAAGATATGATAACTTTAATATATAAACCTACTTTTATAACTTTTTGTTCAGCCCAAATAAAACAGATCATTGCTTGTGTTCAAATACTCATCACCATTTTAAACTCTACTGAACATACTTTGACTCTCTATTATTATCCCTGTGAGGGTTGTCACCGCTCGTTTTAGATAGTTTGGTAGTTTCACTGGTACCTAAGCACATAAACAACAAATAATTATGTATATGTCAGAGATAAATCAATATTTGGAGTTTTAGGTGTCACAGTGGATTCAGAGTCTTAGGCAATGATTATGTATTGTCCTTCTGATACACAGTTAATGTCACATATATTTGATACATTGTTCCAGTAATTGACATGGATTATTGTAACATTCATGCTAATTTTCTGGTCCTTCCTGTGTCTAAAGATCTACATACCTAATATCTGAGTTGAGCTTTCCCAAACAATCTATTTATAGGATGAAGCACTCGGTGTATTTAGGGACTGAAGCTGAGAAGCTGAAAACCCGTACCTGCCCATCAGTCCCAATGGTGCCTCCACAGTCGGTCAGGAGCTCCGACATGTCATAGTAGCTGACAAACTCCCACAGACAGGCCTCCAGGTTCAGGTTCCGGTAGAAGCGTAAGGTGTTGGAGCCTCGGAGAGGTGCACTGTACTGGTAAGGATACGTCTCTCCAATGACTTCTGGGTTTTTTGTAGCGTCAGTCAAGAAGCCATGGTGGGTCTTCACTTCCGTGTAATCCAGCAGGTTGGAGCACTTGTGGTTGCCCACCCTCGTGCCGTCGGGGCTGAGGGTCAGCTCAAAGTTGGAGAGCTCTCTGGTCGAGATGACGGGAAGCATGCCTATGAGAGAGCACATGCACCGAGGGTCACCTCATTGTGTCTGGGCCTGGGTTAGATTTACTTAATTCTAAAGAATACATATGTGGTCAGACTTTTCAAAGCTGGACAGAAAGAACTGGAATAAGTAGAAAGATTTGACATTCAACTTGGAAGCTCAACATTTATCTAAGCTTTGCAATTCAGGAGTCCAAAACTCTTCCATGAACTTGCTTACCCCCGTCACTTACCATCTATGTGTGGCATGGTGACAGTGAGTTTGACGAGATTTGGATAATCCAGGTCCTGTGGGCCCGTGTAGCGTAATTTAGCTGAGAATGGCTCGGCACCCACGACCCCAGGTATGCGTGGCTGACAGAGACCTCAAAGAGAATGGACACATGTAAGCGTACAAGGCTAACAGCCCACACCTGATGCCTGAAGAATACTTAATAATTGGTGATATTATTGTACCACATACTGTAAGGCTCCCTGTGGACTCAGATGTGGTTTAGAAAGTGTATCATAAGGAGGCTGAAGACCATTGCAGGGGTCACTGCAGTTCACATTCTAGCAGCCTCTTAGCATTTTAGAGGTGCATTTCAAGTTCTACACGTACTTCTGAATGCTATTTACAAAGAGGAATTGTAGAAATAAAAGCATATACACATAATCTTTTGAAAGAGCCCAATTTTGGGCTGTGGATGTGCTCAGGGTAGAACATTTGCATGGCATGCTTGAGGCTCTAAGTTCAACCTACAAGTCCCTCCCTCTTTCTTGTGCAAGTGAAGAATTAGTTGATAAAGAGGATTTTCTGTCTTTGCAGTGTGTGTCTAGTCATACCCTACTCCTCATGTCCAGTTCATCTTTGATTGTAGCCTCCCTTGCGGTTACAAGGTAAGAACAGTGCACTTACTGCCCCACCGACTGACCTTCCCCTGTCACCCTTGCAAATGTCTGCTCATGCATGACAGCTGGGCTCCTTACATGGCACAGGGACCCCAGAGTACAGTCCTTCCACACTTTGTCCTTCTCTTCTTCCTCTCTCAAGCCCCCCAGGTCTCGGTCACTCTCAGGACCTTCTGTGTTCGTTCACGTTCCCAAGAGTCCCTGTTCATGATGTCCAGATTCAATCTGTGCACCATCTCTGTGTTAAGCTCTCCTGACACACCCAGGGCAGAACTAATTGTTGCCCCTGTCATCTTTCAGTGTCTTATCCATGCTTAAGTACGTATCTGTCATTAACTTTCCTGAGGATTCCTCAGGGATGGGGTTCTGGCCTTACTTTTCATGTTGCTAGTACAAAGTGCTAAGCCTGGTGCTTAGTAGGTGCTAACAAAATGCAGAATGAGTAACTGTTTTCGAATGAATATTCTGTAAAAGTAGAATTTTAATTTTCAGGACACTATGGGCACATGGGATTTTGAAGTAATAACGTGAAGTTAGACATTTGTCATAGTTCTCCGTATCCTGGCGAGCCTTGCCCAGTGCCTTTACCTTCCTCCCTGCCGATGGTGATGATCGGGCTCATCAGCTCCAGGCCTTCATTGCCATTGGTGTTTACAGCTCGGGCCGCGCACTGTACCCGGGAGCCAGGCTGGAAGTAGATGGAGTCTAAGGTGATCATCTTGGATGAGGTAAAAAACGTGTCGAAGTCCACCTCTCTCATGGGGCTGGTGACTCCATCAGGGCCTGCGGGAGCACTGATTAGCCACCGGTAGTGGGTCAGAGTGTCATTGATATTCTCACTTGCGCAAATGGAGCCTGTTTTGTCGTAGTCTGAATACTTGGGGTTGCATGCCTGTGAGAAACCAATACCTATATTAGGGATGCTGCAAAACAATGTGGACATGGTTTCCTTTTCAGTTCTCTCTGTCTTGGTATTTTTATGAAATTTCCAAATTTCAAATATCATTGATGAGAACTTTTATGAACTCTAAGCTTGACTTTCAAACAGCTTATTGGATATTCCCACCTCTCCCTCGATATACACAATATCAATAACCACAGTATTGTGTCTTGAACCCTCAGAGTCGCTGAATTATCCCTGTTTTTCTTTCCCCCAGTCTCCTCTTCTCCCTTTCTCCATCCCTCACATGGGTGTTACAGTCCACCTCCCCCTTGGGACTGGTCATATTGCCAGGGCCAGCAGGAGCACTAATTAGCCATCAGTAGCTGGTTTCTTTCATCTTTCCACGGTGGGTAAGTGGACTTGACTCACCTTGCTTCTTTTTTGTTTTTCAATATTTCATTAGTTTTTTCCTATCCATTCCCACCACCATCTTCCTGGCTGATTCATGTCCTTTTTTTCCCAGCCAAGTGAAACATGATTGTACCTCTGACCCTTTGACATAATCTCTGATCATGCCATTCTTCTATGTGAGAGGTGGTTGCTGGTTTCCAACAAAAGTGTTCAGCCAAAAAATGAAGCTCAGGAACCTTAATACAGTGTTCAGAGATTTACATGATTTGGCATCAATTTGTTGTTTATGCCTGGCTAATTTATTTATTGCTTATTATCTATTGGTAAGTTGTTATACTAGGGCTATTGTGATATGAAAATCAGTGTAAGTCATAGACGTTACACTTCAGAGTAAGAGAGGGCAAGTCTAAAAGAAATGATAACATATTATTTCTTCTGCTCTCCTCTCTTTAACTTCTTGCTGTGATAACTTGTCTGTGGAATGATCTTCCTTTACCTTATTGCTAAACTATCAAGATTCTACCTGATCTTTCTAAGCATCCTCTCAGACATAGTGTCTCAGCTCTTGTTCTTAATTTATAACATTCTTATAATAATGATCACATCTTACTTTTTTTTCAGCTACAAACTCCTGTGTTTTTCTGTTTCTTATTTTTAAATTTTTGGAAAGCCTTATTTAGTTCATGCTTATTTCTTGTAGCAAGAGTGTCTTAGATCATGTTCAATAACACATTAGTTAACAGATCTTTGTTAGGTGAAGGAGAAATGTGGATGTCCATTTAGTCAATGTTGTCTTTTCTTTTTTAAAGTTTAAACCTTAAATCTTGTAGCATTTATTTCTTTATGACAGTATTTCTTCATGATTAAAGCTCACAATTACTTTAACTCATCGCCTTATAATTTCTCTCAGTCTTTTTAATTTGCTACTCACTGTGATGCAGATGACAGGATAGCCAGACACAGGTCTGGCTCCCTCCTTAGCTCTGGAAGTGTCATCATATAGTAGCAAGGACATGATTTGAGGAACAGAAGGAAAGGTGACATCTGCCATGCTGCTCGTCTCTTCTATATACACAATGGCTTTGGTCACCTAAAAGAAAAAGATGACTGATTAGTTAAATGTTAGACTTCCGGTGTTTCTTTGGTATAGGACAGAATTTATGGTTCCCTGTGGAATCTTTGTGATAAAAACTGTCACACCTGTCACTGCAGACTGACAGGTGATGCTGACATCTTGCTCATTTCTCATTGTTCCAGAGGAAGGCACTTGAGCCTACGGTAGCTAAATCAAAGGGGGACCAGTGGCCCACAAGGTACTTGGGTTCTGTGTTTTTTTTCTCTGATTACGATGACAGTAGATAAATCTGTGTTGGTGGTGTGAAGTAAAAATTATTAAGACGAGGTCAAAATGGGGGAATATTTTTTCTTAAGTAATAATAAAAATAATAAATAAAAACCTTAAGTCTTTTTTGTGTAAAAGCAAAAATTCTGTGAAAATTATGTCCATCTTGAGAAAAAACTGGTTGCTGATATAATACATGTAATTGAACAAAAAAACCCCAAAGTTTTAGGACTACTGTATTTTGGAGTTAAGCCTTTGGGCAACACAGATTCATCAAAGTAGGAGAAATAGGTGGGGATGTTGAAAGCCTGTAAACTATTTTCTGGGTGAGAAAGTGGGTTTCAGTGAGTTGTAGGGCTGAATTAATGTCTTCCCTCTGCGGAGATGGGCTGATGTGGGCTCAGTGGCGAAAGGCTCTGAGTGGCTACAAGCACAGCTGGTCAAAGAAAGAGAAGAATGTCCTGGTCATAATCTAATCAGAGCAGAATTTATTTCCGTGGTGAACTCACGACCTGGCACTTGCCAGGCAGGCACTTATGCCACTGAGCTAAATCCCCGGCCCCGACCAGGGATTTTTGAGCACCCTTTTATATAAAGTTGGTACAAAATCTCACGGCGGTTTCTTCCATGCATTTGCTGTGATAAAACACTGGCACTAATCTGTAAACTTCAGCACTTACCTGTGTCTCTGCTATCATGTTTTCATCAGGTTTTAGGTGAACAGTGAAGGCCTCTCGCATCTCTCTTATCCCATCGAAGATTACTTCGATTTCAACTATGTGCTGGGTTTCTCCTTCCTTAAACTCAATTTCTACAAATGCAAAAAGCACCAATTTAAATCTTTTGCATGCAGATATTAGATACGTAGGAAAGATCTTTCTGACCGAGGTCTACAGTGAGAAAGCTATTTTACATTGTTGCTCAGTACATTTGTGTGTATGTGCATGTGTGTGCGAAAGGGGAGCAAAAGTTTAGCAAATGTCACTAATTCTTCTGATCTATGCTGCTCTGTAATCTTTCCTCCCTCCTTTTGTTTCCTGTTCTATCCAAAGGAAAATTCTAATCATAAGTCACTAAATTAATTCATTGATTCACGGTTTAAAAAAATTCCTGAGTTAGAGGTCGATGGTCCTCAGCTCTTGTTCCCCAGAATTTCTAATCCCATGTCATATGAATGGGACTGAAAATACAGTTGTGAGTGATATTTATGAATATGTGTAGACAAGTTGGATATAAAACTGCTGAATTTTTAGATGCAATATCAAATTATATTTCAAAATCATTTTTTCCAGTTGTTTTTGGAAACTTAGAAATACTAAGATAACTACCAGTAGCTTCTCTTTTCACTCTGTTCCTGTTCCCTAAAAGAACTGCTTCACTGTCATAAAATTAAATGCATTTATCAGAAATTTCTTCTTAGCATTTAAAAATTTCAAGATGTCAAAAATCACTGGATTTTATTGAAATCATGAATAAACAGCTGCTCGTACTACTAAACTTGAATAAACCACCTTGTTGATTTTACTCTACCTTTTGAAAATCAGGATCAGAAAAATAACAGAAAAAATAAAAGTCATAATCATTCCATGTAGAGGCGATAATGAATGTCTTCTGAAAACTGGTTCAATCAGTTACAAATTCTCTGAGTCTAGCATTCCTAGTGTATCTTTTTCTACTTCAATTTTTAAATTATCAACTACATTTCTTTAAAATTGAACTAGTAAGCCAGATATCTTTAAAATTAGTTCTGTCCGGATGAAGCATTTTTCACTCTGAGCCACAGCGAGTTCTCTGTGCTTGTCAGCCCTTCTTGATCCAGGGGTGACACTAGCTAATTCTTTCTCACCTACTAACTTGTTTTTAATTTTTCTTTTTAAAATTATGTTTTATAATTTTATTTACAATGATTTTAAGCATTTAATAATTTAAAATTATGTTTCACGCTTATGCTTTATAATCCTACTTTTTTACTACGTTTGAGATATGCAATATGATGTTACAGATAATTTAGTTAGTTCTATATGGTGTGAAATTTAAAAACCAGTTAAAAATCTGGGGATTTCATAGGAAAATGGGTATTTTTGTGCTTTCTTGCATGATAATAGCTATGGTAGTCCAGGCTTTTCTCAACAAAGGAAAATTTTCTGTGTCAATAACATTCCAATCACTCTATTTTTTCCTTTGCATTTCCCTCTTTTTCCTCATTTTCATTGCTTGATTTTGTAAGCATTCAAGCTTTTATTATTCCAACGTATGCAAAACAGCTATTTAAGAAGTCAAAAATAATTTTAGCATTTCAATGATTTGTTTCTGATTGTATACTTGGTAGATGATAATCAAGTTTTTAAATCAATTTTTTCCTTAATCTGTGACTTTACTTTTCCCCACGATTTTTTCCAACTTTTGTCTTTAATTTTTATTGTTTATTTGTCAAGGGATGATTTCAGTTAAGCTATTTAAGGAAAAACTACAGAGCTTTTACCAAAATAAAACTCCATGGGTTTTTATTGTAAACATAATGCTGACACCAATGGGATAAAAGACACAGTGGTTTGGTGTAATTTAACTTTTCTTTACCTCCAGCGCTGGAGATTGAACTCCGGGGCACTCCACCACTGCACTATACATTTAATTTTGTTTATTTTTTCATTTGACATTTGCTCTCTAAATGGTTCAGGCTGGCTTCAAACTTCCAATTCCCAGCCTCAGCCTCTTCCGTAACTGGGATTACGGGCATCTGCCACCATGCCTGGAAGCAGTATTTCACTGTTTCTCTGTCAGTTCACTGCATAAAAGCGATTTTGTTTATGTTTTAGCAAAAATAATAGTTTTATTTCTAAAAAAACAAATTTTTGCTAAAGTTCATATAACCAATTATTTAGAAGGGCTTTCCCTCAAATAAAATCTGTTCATTTTAGGAAGGACTGATTTTAGACTTTTATTTTAGTAGCTAATCCCTTTTGCTTTTTCTTCTTTGGTTTACAATGATTTATTTCCTCAGAATAATCTCAGGGTAAAATTGATGCTGGAGAGTATCACAGGTTTACCATCTATGTGACACAGGTATACCATATACTTTTCTTTGTAGAAGACGTTATTTTTTCTGTTACCTAACTTCATTGATGATTGAGTAATATCTACAAGTCACTTTTTAAATGTTGTGGATGGGTTAGAACATCAAGACGAATGCCTGCAGTACTATGGTTGTCAAGAACTAATAACCAGTAGAAGTCTAAATAATTTCATAAACTTAATTTTTAATACAAGTTTATGTTTTATAAGTCCACAAATAATTCAGAGAAAAAGGGATGAGAGGGAGAAAAAGAGAGAGAAAAGAGAATTTATTTGTGTTAATTATTCATAAACATAGATAATGAAATGATCCCAAAATGTGCAGAAGAGGGACGAAAACCATCATTAAGAGGGTTTCTAAGTTGCTCAGGCTGGGATCTAAGTTATCTAGGATGAGGTCTAACTTGCAGTTCTCCTGCCTCATTCTTCAGTGTGCACTGATTACAGTTACATGCCTCTAAGGCTCACTTTCCCACGTGTTTACTGTCCTTAATTGCCACGAAATTTTATAGCTTTAAGAGGGAGGTGAGAGGGAGATTAGGAAAGGGAAATAATGATGAACGCAATCATGTGCTGCAAATGTGTTCTAATAAAAAAAGTCAGCAGAGACGCCCAGTATTTGAGGTTGTGAGATGAAACATTAATTGCCTCCAAGCTAGATCTCATTTATAAATTTAAAATAGAACTACATAGGTCAACTGTTTTTTTTCTAAATCCCACAGCATCCTTTATCACTGTTAACAAGAAACATTAAAGATCTGACAGTTATATTACTTTTTACTCCCTCCTGTTCACAAAATAAAAGCTTTCCCAGTTTAAAAGCAAACAGGCAAGCAAGCAAATAGAAGGTTTAGGTTACAAGAGTTCTCCAAAGTGAAATAAATTATTATCACAGTTATCACACACATTTTCGGTGTGACACAAACTTACAGGGAAATTATTGTGTGATGTCCAATCAAGAGCTGATGCTAAAACCAGCCAAAAGTTTAAAGTACACTCAAAATAATCTTTTAGCATATTTATCTAAAAATTCGCTAAGCCCTAACACATAAGAGTTAAAAGGGAAGCCCTATGAGTCAAAAAGGAAAGTCCTAGAAATTAATCGTTCTTTATGTTTGTAAAGGAGAAGGGTTAAGAATGCACGCCTATTTATATTTCAGTTGGAAGTTTCTTTTTCTTAAAGGTACAGCATCAGTACACAGTGGTGTGGCTCATCCGATGACAGCCCTGGGGCCCCCCCTTACCTTCTGACACTGGGTGATAGTCCTCCCCAGAGGTGGCTGAGCCATCTTTTGTGTGGACTCTCACGATGGAAACTTGAGAAGTGTCTCCTTGGCGAATCACTGGAATTTTTACCAACACTGTCTCTCCAGGCTCTTTGGGTTCTGTGACACTAAATTTGGTTTCTCCAAATTTGATTACAGTCTCTGAAATTGTGGAAAACGCAAGTTACATGTTAGTAAGGTAAACAGTGCTTCTCCCATTTCTAATGCTTCCTTTCATGTAGCAGGATACACTCTCTGTTTCCTTAGTGTTAGTGGTGAATGAAGAAGGAGAAACTGACGTATATTGCCCAGATATTTTAAAAAAAAATTTGTGTTGCTGGCTAGAAAATACAGGGCCTACATTCTCAGCTCCCAACATTATCAATTTTAATAGTTTGATTTGTTTCCCCGTATCTTAGTAGTCTTCTTCTCAATTGCTCTGAAATCCTAACCAGAAAGCGGTCATTATTTTCTGAGTCGCCTAAAACCTTAACAAGCATAAATTCCAGTTCCCAATTCACAGCTGAGCATAAGCAGTCGCCTCTTACTGTCAGCATCATCTTGGATCCTTATCAGAGTTTCGTTTTGTTCACCAATTGCAGCCCCGAAGCGGGAGTTGCTTTGTGGAGTGCCAAGTACCAGGCGGAGCTCCTCTACCTCCTCATAGAGCGTGTCATCCATCAGCTCAAGGACACAGGGCTTTTCAGTCTCACCTGGAGCAAATCATAATGTCAGCAGGTCAGTCACATCCCCTGGGCTAAGAAGGATGCAGCAGCAGCTAGCACAAAGGCGTCACAAGAGCACGGATGTCGCTTTTCTCTTGCTGTATCAGTGCAAAGTACACTGTAATAAGTCTCTGATAAATATTTACTGAATAATTAAATAAATGTGTAAACACATGCAAGAATAGGCCCTCGTATGCACAGAGAACTTCTGTAATTTCTGTTTTGAAGTTCTATTATTCATCACAGAAAGCAGGAGAAAATGGCCACTTTTTTATGAATTCCTAGCATTATGATCGGGAAGGAAATCTGGTAGATTTGTATTAGTTGGTCATCGTTACTTTGACTGTTTAATTATAATCTGACTGACAGCAACAACTGTTGGTTTATTGAACAAATCACTGAACCAAAAACAATTTTGTCCCTGCCTCTGACAAGGGGGACCAGTATTATATTTTGAACTTTCTCTTACCTCGATATTTAAAAAGTTTTTTGAGATCCATAAGGTGTACTATGAGATGGGTGATCAAATAAATCATACTTTAATGGTTGACCATTCATTTTTAATCTTCTATTACTGCAAATAACTTTGTGATATATATTCATATAAAGAAATCTTTCTGTACACTTAGGCCTTAAAAGAATATATTCCAAGGGGGAAAAAAAACTGCACAATGGTAAGTGACAACAACTCAGCCTGTCTGAGATTTGGTATCCAGACTGTGGAAAACAATAACTTGGAGAAGAAACAAAAGAGATACTACTTTGTTCCCTCGAAGACATGAGGGATCACACATGGCGAGGTATAAAGAGGTACAGAATAAACACATCACAACATGGAGAAGGAAGGGACCATAAGCATTTGCTCCGAAAGAAACTTCTCACGGTGTAATGCTGCAGTGCAATGGACCAGGTTGGTGTGGTCTGTAAGGGAACAGCTGGTGATCTACAGGCAACAGCTAGTGAGTGATTGTAACACAGAGTCTGCCATTCACCTGGAGAGCGTGCTTGCTGGGATGCCACTCTGAGGAAGGGCTGACTGTTTGAACCTGGTCCCCAGAGTAACCCTGGAGAAGAAATCCAAAATGGTTACTCAGTGGCCACCAGAGTTATGTTTCCAAAGTAACAGGCTGAAGAACATCCATTGGAGATAGCTCCCCATCAGACAGCAGAGTGGGAAAAGACTCTGTGATGGGTGTGAAGTGAAAGACATGGACACAGCTCTCAGAGCAAAAGGCCAGGCTCAGTCTGAGTTGCATGACATTTAAAACAGATCAATGAGGTACTCAGTGGGATGACGGAAGATGTATCTGAACAAGTAATAACAAAAATGATTCAGGACCTTTCAGAAGACACCAATAAAAAATTAAATGAACTTAACAAAATGACCCAAAACATCAATGACCAATGTAGCAAAGCCACAGCCAAAATCATCATGGAGAAAAGTTGGAAGCTTTTTTTCTAAATTAGGAACAAGACAAAGATGTCTGCTATCCCCACTTGTTTTCAATGTAATTCTTGAATTTTAGTCAGACCAATCATCCGAGGAAAAAAATAAAAGGGATATTTATAGGGAAGGAAGAAGTTAACTCATCATTATTTGCAGATGATATGATCTTCTACATAGAGGATGACAAAAACTCCACCAAAAGATTCCTAGCATTAATAGCCAAGCTCAGTAGCATAGCGAGATACAAATTCAACTCTCAAAAATCGATGGTATCCCTGTATACCAATAATAAACTCACTGAGAAAGAAATTAGGGAAACTATGCTTTTCACAATAGCATCAAGTATAACGAAATAGTAGAAATCAACCTAATCCAGGAAATAAAAGACCTCTGCAATGATAACTACCATACTTTGAAAATGGAGAATAAAGAAGACATCAGAAAATGGAGATAGTCCATTTTCCTGGGTAGTCAGAACCCATATAGTCAAAATGGCTCTACTTACAAAAGTATTACACAGATGTAATGTAATCCCTATCAAAATAGCAATAGCATTTTTTATAGAATTATAGAAAAGAATCCTAAAATTTATACAGACTCAGCAAAGACTTAGAACAGTAAAAGTAAGTCTGGGGAACAGGAAAGATAGGAGGCACCAAAATTCTGGGCTTCAAGTTATACTACACAGCTACTGTGGTAAAAGGTAGTAGAGTACAGGAAAAAAAAAACCTGGACTTGTGGATCAATGGAACAGGATGTGCAGAGGGTAAGGAAAAACCTCAGGAGAGGAAGGGAGGGGTTCAGGAAAGGAAATCACAAATGTCATGTGTATGTACCAACACCCCATGGAATGCAATCACATTGTACTACATACATACCAATAAAAATTTAAAAAGAATATGTTTCTAGAACTATAATAATTGAATTAAAGTTATTGAATAGCTTAAGGTACTAGACACATATTAAAAGTATGGCACGTATTTTATTTCATTAGCTTTCAACATTTACTTTCCAGCATTTTGAAATCTATATATTTCATATGCTTTTGCCCACCGAGTAAGTTCTAAATAAACAATGTAGCCCATCACTGGGAGACAGTAAGTTACTATGGAAACCAACATGACATTCATTCATACTGTTGTGCCTACTGCACCTTATTCTTTTGCACATTGAACTATCTCATAAACTTGTTGACATAAAGGCACTTTTATTCCCCTAATACATATTTTTAAACAAACACCTGGCTTCCTCAAATTCTATAAACAAATTTCGAGCTCAAGACTTACCAGGGAGGAACGTGATGGTTGAGACGTCAGTGTTCGGACGTTCTTCAAAGTCCATTATCACCTGCGCGGATGCCTGCCGTGTGTAGCATCTCACTGAGGACCTGAACTGGACGTCCCCACTCCGGTGGATCACCGCAGCTATCTGCCCATCACTTTCACTACCAGTGTACACTCGTTCTTTGAATTGCATCTTAGGCACTGTCAAACCAAACAAACTCTTAGATCAGAGTGAACAGATATTTCCTTAAGGAAAATGGGATTTCAGAAAGTGTCTTTGGTAAAGAAAACAGAAGAACAGAAGCAAAAACTAAATGTCTTGTCAGTCATTGGCAAATGTTGTAAACTTGAGTAAACCACTTAACTTTAAGATTTTTATTTCTTTGTTGTTTACATTTTGCTTTGCTTATTTTGTGGACTAAGGATATGCAAGAAAATGCTAAAAAATAGTAAAATAAAAAATCTTAAGGTTTTTCTATCTACATAAGTTGCTTAGGCATGAATTTTTCAGAATTTCTTGATATGAAGAACATTAAATATGGTGCATATAATTATAGCCATAGTTAAAAACTGCAGATCATGTTGGGAAAAGTGCCTGGGTGTAAAATTATTTAGGTAACATTTAAGCTGGATCAGTTAATTATAGTTCTCATTAACACAAGCTAGATTCCTAAAGCAATGTCAGAATTATCATGCTGAAGAGTATTCAGAATTCCCTTAGGAAAAAAACCCTGAAGAAAATGGTTTAGAAGGACTTTATCTCCATCTGATAAAGGCCATTGATGACTGACCCACAGACAATATTAAATGGTGAAATAATGAAAGTCTTCCTTCACAAATCAAGAGCAAGATAAGGAGGTCCATTATCACCACTTCTAGCCAACATAATTCCCAAAACATTAGCCAGAGCAGTCATGCAAGAGAAGAAAGAAAAGGAATAAAGATAGGAAAGGATGAAGTCACAGTATTACTTGCATATGACATGATACATTACTTACAAGTCTCAAAAAGCTTCACCAAAAGACTTAATTTAGCCATGTAGCAGCATACAAAACAAACACACAAAAACAAATAGCATTACTAAATACTAATAATGACTCATTAAAAGAGAAATTAGAAAAACAATACTCTTCCCAGTAGCATGAAAAATCCTTAGGAATGAACCTAACAGGAAGTGGAAGATCTCCATAATGAAAATTTTATCGATTTGAAAAAGGCAAATTGAGAAAATGGAAAGATAGCCCCAGCTCCTGGATTGGTCTAACCAATACAGTCAAAATGGCTATACTCCCAAAACTGTTATATGGATGTAATGCAGTCCCAATCAAATCCCAGCATTTCTCACAGATCCAGGCAAAACAACCTAAAATGTACATGGAACAAGAGGAGACTGGAAATAGCAAAATCAAAGCAAGTGACATCCCAATCCCAGATTTGAAGGTATACTATAAAGATATGGAGACTAAAACAGAATGGCATTGGCACGAAAACAGGCTTGTGGATCAATGAAACATAATAGAAGAAGCAATCCCAGGCACGAATGGCACTGATCTTTGACACAAAGGCTAACAACAAAGAGGAAAGATAAACTTAATAAATGGTGCTAGGAAAAATAGATATCCACATGCAGAAAATGGAGTGTAGACTCATATATTTTATCACATACTAAACTAAAATTAAAATGAATAAAAAATCTAAATATTAAAACAGAAGCACTTAATCTGCTGGAAGAAAAAATAGATACAACTCTTTAAGACATAGGTATAAGGAAAGACTTTCTGAATAGAACAGCAAAAGAAACAATACTGAAAATCCACAAATGGCTTTTTTTGCACAGCAACATAAACAAGCAACAGAGTGAAGAGCTAATCTTCAGGATAGAAAAGAATTGCCAACTATTCAGAAAGAGGGCTAACCTTTGGCATATAGACTCCTCCAAACAAAAGACCCAATCAAAATATGACCAACTGAGATAAACAGATACTTCTCAGAAGTAAAAATGGCCAATAAATACATGAAAAAATGTTCAACAACATTGATCATTAAAGAAATGCAAATTAAAATTACACTGCGGGCCAGGCATATAGCTCAGCAGCACAGAGTCTGCCTGGCAAGAGCAAGATGGTGAGTTTGATTTCTAGTACCAAAAAACCAACAAACAAACCAACAAAAAAAAAAAAAAAAAAAAAAAAAAAAGAAAATTACACTGATTTACCACCTTACTACAGGAAGAATGGGGTATCATCAAAAAAATCTAACAATAACAAATGTTGGCAAGGCTATGTTGAAAAAGAAATTCTTCCACATTGTTTGTGGGAATATACTGGCATTACCACCATGGAAACCAGTGTGGAGATTCCGTAAAAAAACTAAAAATAGAAATTCCATTTGAGACGTGATCCCACCTCTTGAATCTTCTTCTCAAAGGAGTTAAAGACATCGTATTGCAAGGATACATGCACACACGTTTATAGCAGCACAATTTATACTAGCTACCTGTTGGAAACCTTTTATATGCCCACCAATAGATGAATGGATAAACAAAATGTGGTAAACACATTTATACACAATGCAATGCCTCTGTGCCGTAAAGAAAAACAGTTGAGGCATTCCTACACAAATGGTACATCCTAGTTCAGTATGAGTGGCATTCTCATGTAAAAGGGAAAACGGGATACAGAACAAAAATGATACAAAGAGATAAAGGGAAAAGATCGTCATTTGCTGGCCAGAGAGGGAGGCCAGGAGCAACCTTCTGACCATCCTTAGAAAGAACCAATTCGGTTAGAGTTTTCATTCTGACTTCCAGCTGAAAGCTGTGAGACAAATCCCCGTGGTTTAAGCCATCCATCTGTATTTTCAGTGGCAAAACTGGCACGTGAAGATAGTACACCATCCCTGTCCATGCTTTGCCATTCTCCTTGTTATTTATATGAACTCTAGTTTACACTTTACTTACCAATGTAAAATTAATGAATACTCACAATCAGAGACAGAGTCGTTTATGGACACTGTGGCTTTGCTGGGCTCCCCGAGGGCAGCATTCATAGGCATCCGAAGCACCAGCTCAAATTTCTCAATTCCTTCCAGCATTGGTTGTCCAAGGTCATCCAGGATGGTAACATGGACAGTCTGCATGTTGACTCCGGGTGCAAAATCTAAATTACGACTGATTCCCACATAATCTGTTCCAGCTATGACAGTAACAAAAGGATTCTCCAGTGAGAAATAAATTCTTAAAATTACTACTAGGAACAGATTACGTAGATTTACAAACATTCCTCCTTTTGTAATCAAGTTCTGTTCCTGCCAGTAGGTCGTTAAGTGGAATTATCGCTAAATGAGGAATTATATATAGTATGGACATTATAATACGCAGAACAGAGAAACAAAACTCCAACTTGATGACTTGGTTTCCCTTGCATAGCTCTGACATGCAGTACTGGAATGTATAACAGGACAGAAAGCTATAGTACTGTACTGTACAATAGAATCGGCAAAAATTACAGTAGTATTTACTGTAACGGGAAGCCACCATTAGGCTGCATTGCTTACAGTGCTGCATCAGAGGTCCAAATGCAAATTGTAAGTCTGAGCAGCGGGTTGTGAACCCTAACAGCATGCCTTGGTCGTAACTCCAAAGAGTTATTAAACAAGTAGGTCATTAAACAAGGAATATATGCATTTATAACTTATTTTTTAAAAACAAGCAGTATAATACTATAGAAAAGTACCTTAACAAAAGGCAAAAGATTAGTATTTACGTAATTATGGAGGTAGTGGGTCAAAGGTCAGGTTCTGAACGTTGTCTAATAATTGAATGTAGGCTTAGTCATTTTTGCTTTTTGCGCTGAAGTTCCTCCAGCTTTATTAGAACCTACTAATGTCAATCAGAGCTAGTTATAAGTGATATATGAAATACATATATTTCCAATTTTGTTCATGGTAAATATCTATAGTTCTTATTTTTGGAGCTACTATAGAATGTCTAATTTAGACGTATGATTGCCTGTTATTTAAAGTAACAAATTTCAGGTACTTTAATTTCTGCCCCACACAACCTAGCTGTACTCCTCCCAGGGATGAGCACCGAGAACACACGTCAATACTCAAAAGGCAGAGCTGATCTTTAATTTAATATTTTTCAGGCAATAGAATATACACACATATATATTTATATTAGCTAGTTTATATATACTGTCCTATCTATCTACACTATATATATTGTCCTATCCATCTACACTGTTACTACCGTTCTTCAAGCAGTTAGAGCAAAAGTGTCTCACAATCATTTATCATTAGATACAAAAAGACTGGCAGGAGAGCACGGTGGTTCAGTCTTATTGCTTCCTTCTTTGTTTTCTGCCTTTTGCTCCTCTGGACTCACATTTCACATCAACTTTGGCGGGATACATAAGGGTTTGAGTGTCTTTAATTCACGTGTAAAAATATCTATATCTGTAGTTCATTCTGTGCTTTACTTGTTTCCATTTCTCTCTCTCATTCCCCTTCTCTGATTTGAATTTTTCTCTTAAAAATTTCTAATTTGGGAAAAAAAAAGTTTATTGGGCACTTACTATATGCAAAGCGTGGCTAGTTCTATTGCATTAAAGAGTTACAATCTAAAGGTAATTTTTAAAACTGAGTGAGCCTTGCTTGCTTGTGTGATGAATGCACAGCGTAGGTGTGTTGACCCACATCACACAAAATACGCATATATGAGACAGACGGCTTTTTGCTGTTGGACAGTTGAAAAAAAATAAAGAAAAATTTGAATTTTATGCTTGTTTTAAACTTTATAATCAAACTTTTTGAAGTTATAGATTCCAGAATAAGTTATATATATATATATATATATATATATATATATATAGTGTGAGGAAACGTCCATAGAATATTGAAAAAGGGAGGAGGGAGTCAAGCAATGATGCATATTTGCAAGACACTTTATCATTTGGTCTTTGTGAGGTAGTCATCATGAATATTCTTCAAAAAGTCTTATTACTGGATCATGTAGATTTCCTGGGCGGAGAACTAATTCACACAAACTTAGAATTAGACTTTAGACTGTATAAGTTTTACCTTAAAAATTAGCCTCTAATGCACAGCCCTTAAATGTCTTTTCCTACAGTGGTAAAGAAATCTTAGATTTATCATCTATCACATGGTAATAATTTCAGGGGAAAAAATCCATCCAGCACACTTGAAGAGGGCTGAGTGTGAGTTCATTTTCCCGCCCTGATTACTTGGGCTGTGAAGCATGTGGCATCACAGTAGCTGGAACGATCACAGGGCTGAGGTCCGGAACTGCTCACCATCAGCAGAGGGAGGGTCCGTTTTCCGAGATCTCACCGTGACACTGGACGGCCTGGAGAGGTCGGTGCCCACTCTCCACACCCGCACCTCCACGTGGCCAGCGCTCTCATCCACCGAGTACTGCACGTCCCCAAAGTAGAAGGTGGGTTCTGTGAGAATGGACAGAACCACTTTACTTTTTCGCATCAAATGCTATCATCGCGATTTCACAGTCAGCTCCATATCATGTCAGCATAGTTCTTCCTTTCAGTAGGCTAGCATCTCTTTAATCTGTACATTTATGTAATTTTCAGGTCAAAATATCACTATTCAGAAACAAAAAAAAAATTCCTACCTTGAGGAATAAGAATTGGTTTGTTTCTCATATGTGGAATTATAAACTTAGATGGACAAATAGAATCAAATGAAACAATTTGATTGTTTAAGCCTGTCAATTGTTTAAGTTTGGCTTAGGTGCTCATTTTATCATCGTTCAAGTTTTCATTCAATAACACAGAGGCTGCTATGTGCATTACGCTGTCTTTTTGTTCATTAGATTTGGGCTTAATCTGGTGTATTTAGATCCATACTAATCAATAGCGTTAGAACCTATTGGCAAAATTAAACTGAGTGTTTGTGACTACCAGTCCTGAAGACTTCACAGAAATCAGGGCCTGATTGCTGGTTACCTGTAGACTTGAAGATCTTCTATACCATTGGAAATTTCATTGAGAAGTTAGACTTGTCCTCAAGCATGAAAATACTGTGACATATGTCAAGAAAGGGTACGTATTTTGGAACTTAGTACTTTTCTCTAGTCTTGGTGATGAATTTGAATTGACTTATTAATTTTCATCTGATTCTCCCTGTAATCAAGAGTTTACTTTGTGTTATAGCTTCCAGAAGTCTGAAGTATGCTAGTTAGGTGGCTAATAAAAACTTAGAGATGATTTGTAAGCTTATTTTTTTTAAAAAAACTTAATTCTAATTACAGTAAGCTCAGAGGAAATTGTAAATACCCTATACTTTCTTTGTTGTGAATTTATTTAATAATCAATCATTAACAAGAGTAAATTAAATTGAGTGGTACATGAGGCAACTAGCCATTTGATGTGAGACATTCTGACCGTTTTGTCTCTCATTTTACAAGATTCAAAAGGACTGAATCTAAAAGGATGTGCAATTTATATCACTGATCTCAGAATACAAGGTCATCAAAGAGATCACGCCATGTTTCAGAGAAGCTGATTAAATTCGCAAATACACAAAATGAGCCAAAATTCTGAAAGAATTTGTGAAAGAATTCACAAAGCCACTGGAGAAGCTGAAAGGAAAAGAAACTTCTGCATACTACTCAAGTTAGATCTGAATTTTTTATTTTTCTGCCAGCCAAACTTTACTAAAACTGGCAATTTGCTTTGTCTCTTCATGTAGTGAATCTGATAAAAGCATACAATCACCCTGAACTTTTGAATAATACAAGACCCCTGGAAATTTTGTTTTGGTTCAGTAGGTGATAAATTTGCCTCTAATGTGGCTTACCTCCCTCCCTCCCTTCTGTTCCACTTGGAGCACGTGAGTGTATGTGTACAGACGAAGGTGTTATCTTAATAACTGCAGTCAAAGCAGACCTGGACTGCAGGTCAATGCATTCCTTACATTTCTCACATCTAAGGAGGGGGCAAAGGTGAAGGCAGAGAAGCCCTGAGAACATTTACTCTGGCCAACCAGGACATCTGCTGTCTCTTCAAAGGCTATTATAATTACTATGGAGGTGTGATCACCTGCATCCAAACAGTGTTCTCTCTAAACCTTTTTCCAGTCTTGACAAACTGCATCACCACACAAGCTAGGTATCTGAGAGAGGGAGAGAGCTGTGAAGTGTGGTAAGGAAGGGCTGCCTATTGAACAATGTTACCTCCCTCCTTCCTATTCCTCACAGATAATCATTAGAACCAGCGGAACAGAATAAAATTATGCGGGTGAGTTCAACCACGAAACATCAGAGGAGATATGTATTAGGACAAAATTGTGTTTTGCCTGTGCGTGCTCAGATTTCATTGTGTCAACTGTAGAACAAGTGGTTTTATTTTGTACTTTAAAGTGTAGTTGATACACAAAAGGGAGTCCTATGTAGTACCTTCAGAATTGAGATCCAATCTGTCATTCAGAATGAATATTAATGATAATAGATGCCATATATAGATACGTACACTTCATATGAGCGAAAGAGAATGAGGTACAGCAGGATGGCAAGTGGACAATACCGCAGATCATGAGTCACAGAACCATACAGAGAGTGTTATCAGGTAGCTTGGTATGTGGAAGGTGCACTGATAATTATGTCTAGTAAGAGGGTAATAAAACAGAGTTTTAACACTAAATCCCTCAAGGTTGATAAGACAGTTATTAGAATTAGGAAAGTTAATTATCTACTCCTTAAAAGGAAGTTCTTTATCATTAGTTGTTGTCAATTATACATATGATATTTCTCTATCTCTGTGCTCCATTCTGTGCTTCTTCTGTTTTTTTAGGATGACGAAAAGATTGGTTACATAAAAACTGGGATTATTGTAAGTAAAGTTTGAGGTGTTTAACTACTATGAGATTATAATACAATTCAATGGTTTCTATGGCAAAACAAAACAAACAAACAAAATAATCCCAAAATTTAACTACCTAGTTCCTTGTGCCATGAGTAAAAAAGAAATGGCTAAATATCACCATCTTTATGTCTTCAGTGTAGACAAATGAGAATTGAAAATTATGAAATTTCTAAAATTTGAATATGCTTATAATTTATTCAAAACTTTATGTAATATAAATGAATGACAGATCCTTCAAGTAGGTTACAGCTGTCACATAAAAAATGACAAATTGTTTCTGAAATATTTTAATTGGTACAGAACAAGCAAAAGGAAGAAAGGGATAAGTGAGTGAAGATAATTAATATTTGAAGGTAACAAAATCCAGAATAATTGCTTGCAATAGCAAATAACTATTATTTATGAGTAAGATTTTATACCTGTTTTTTGGCAAACCTTTTTTTTTTTTTGGTTTAAGAACTTGTTTTATTATTATAATTTTAAATTAAACAAACCAAAGATCTTTGCAAGTCAGTTACGGAAATACCTGATCACAATTTAGAGCAAGTTACATAAAGCCTATTTAATTCTCTAGTTTAGCTCTTAAATACATAGGGTCTTGTACTATATTCAAGCCTACAGACTTAGTGGAGAAAACAACTAGAGGCTAATATTATTTGGAATGAGAATGTAAATGAATGAAGCCACACATCCTGCACCCCATGCCCACATAACACCTAAAACAGTCATTCCTCAGCACCCCACCACCTCCAGAAGATATTCCAGAATGCATGCTTATTCCCTCTGCAGAGCAAAGCTAACATAGCAAATTGTATGTAAGCAGCACGCGGGAGGTCTTCAGTTGGCTCAGGGAAGAGTGTGAAATTTCTGAAGGAAGTCAAAGCCTACTCTCTATCCTTTGTGGTCTTACACTTTTAAATCAAGTGCAAAGATCAAAAGCACTGACTGCAAAACAATCTGGTTTTGCTCATTAAATGTTTATAAGACTTTCAAAGCTGGAGATGCTTTCACTCCACACAGTGCAGACAGAATCACATTTATTTCCTGCAAAGCAGAAGAAAAGGCTTGAAACCTAAACAAGACATGCACCTTCAACAAGGTACAAAGAGAAAGTTCCTTTTCCCATTGGGAAGAAGTGAACTCTGTGTCATATGTGTGTATGTGTGTGTGTATGTGTGTCTAGATTGATGTTTACATTTAAATTGTGTCTCATGAGATGAAAGGAAGGCTTTCCAAGGGTAATTGCTATCTGGAGCCAAATCTTATTTACTCAAGTGTACAAGAACTATCAGTTAAGTAAGCTTTATGGGTCTAGCATGTTTGGTTAGAAGTTAATAGAGTAAGAGCTTTGATGCTGTCTTTTGGTTCAGTAATGAAAACAATATAAAGGAGCCTCCTAAAATTGTCTCCAACCCAGATCTCTAGAGCGTTGGACTTCGATAGATTATTACTTACCTAACCCACTCACCATGGGTACCTCAAGATACCCAACTTCTTCCAAATAGAATCAACAGTCAGGTCCCCTCCATCCTCTGGTTTGTCTCTGCCTCACTGCCACTCACCTAGATGAGGCCAGCATCACCTGCCATTTGAATTTCTCCACTAAGTACAAAGACCTCAAATGTAAGCTCTAGAAAAAATATATATAGTATATATGTATATATATATACACACATAATATATATGTATATGTACACAAATGTATTTGCATATACACATGATATACGTATGTATATATATATATATCATTAAATGGACTCCTAGGTAATTGTATACACATACATACAGATCACACACACACACAGACCACACACATATGTAAAAAAGAACTAGTTGAGATATTGCTGTCAAAAGTGATCCTGTAATGCTGTATCATATATTCCTTACAGGGTTTTATCAGCATTAGATTAAAAATTAAGGGCAATCTGCTGTTTCTTTTTGGTAGTCTTGAATAGTTGCCCTTGCCATTAATATATTCTGTAATAAAACAGAGACTAAGCTTGAGATGAGTGGACTGAAAACCGAACAGAACATCAATGTGGTAACCACATGTGAGTGTCCTGATCTCTCAATCAGGAGACAGGCAGTGAATCCACTCTTGATCAGTCACAGGAAGCAAACTAAAGCATAACTCTAGTAAGCATAGCATGGATTCTTCAGGCACCAAAGATGAAGAGGTTTCAGCCGCCTAAAAATGCACACTGCAAAATTACAATAAACACCAATAAATGTACTTTTATTTAAAATAAAAGTAAGTTCAAAGGACTGTGTATGCAAAACTTATATTCAGCAAAAAACAAAATTGATAAAATATGGTGGCATAGCCAAGTAATTATTGGTGATAATCATGAGTAACAGTCATAACTGATATTGTTCTAGTTAATGTTGAAACTAAAAACTGAGATGATAGTATAATTGTTATAAATGCAAGAGAGTTCAGTGTCTAAATTAGTTTACTGTCTCTGTCATTTTCAAGAGGGTAAATTTTGTTGTGCAGAAAGCTAATATCTTTGTTGAAATTAAAAGAATTAGCACCAAAATGACAGAAACTAACAGGGGGAAAA